GTTGCCGTAGTGACCCCCGGTACCAAAAAAAAAAAAAAAAAAAAAAAAAGAACAAGTCCCCGATTGTGGGGATTCTAGTCACTGTGGCACCAAGCAGGAAGAGTGTTAGAGCAATGCTATAAATTAATTTTCACCCTTCTCTCAGAATATTTAAAGCTGTCTATTTTTTCTTTAGGAGCTGTAAACATATCTGCACAAGGCTCAGTTATTTCACCTCAACGTTCACCTACCAAAAAATATCCCAGAACTTCACATTCCTTTGTGGATCCAAAAGAAGAGGTATATAATATTATTCTGCAAACACAAGCAGAATCAATGAGAGACAATATTATGCTCATCAAAAATGCTATCCTTTGACTCACCATACAGAATAGCTTCATCTTTTGAAATTAGTCATACCGTAATAAAAATGTAGTAGCTACAGGACAATCTGCCAGGATGTAGGCCATAATTTAGTAGTGTATAATATGCATCTGAAGCTTTCAGAAAAATCAAGTTTGACTTCTTGGGTTTAGCTGCTTCAAGCACTGACAAGTGATAGCTTGCCTGCTATTGGAAAGTTACCATCATGGACTGGGGTCAAAGCTTTTGCAAAGAAATAGCTGCTCTCTGTGGGCTGTCAAGTTGTGAATACAGCAACCCAATCCACATGCTTGCTTCCATTTTTAGCTTAATGCTCACTGGTTCACTCTGCTAATGAGTTAACACATTTTGATAAAGACTGCAATAAAATTCTTCACTGTAAAACGTGACATCACTTTCTTTGTCCTATATTACATAATAACTGACAAATTAAATATTCAGAACTCCTATCCTACAATGTACTGTAGTTATTACAGTGTGCTTCTGTAAAATAATTTGGTCATAAATAAACATTTGACAACCATTTGCTGAGCACAGTTTACTATTCTGCTATATCAAAAGTCAGATTAAATACGCTAATTAAAAAATTTTTCTTAAGAATACCAGCAATTGAAATCATCATCTTATCCAGCAAGTTTCAAAGGTTGTGTCTTTAATTTTATAAAGGAAGAAAAATACTATATCTTTAATTTTAGAGAGGAAGAAAAACTCCTTTAAAAACTCCAAGTTTTACTATTCACCATTTTTGGCTAATGTGTGTGCTATGAACTTGTCTTCCATCTTTATCTCAAGTGAGTGCCAGATGTTCACAGATAGCTAGTTTATTAGAAAAAACAAAATGAATATTTTATTATAAGTATTAAAATATATTTTGCAATATTGCACACAACCTATGATTGTCAGAAAACATATTTCTGGTGGCCTGTTTTCAGCTCTGAGGTCTGGAAAATTTTTTAAAAAATGTTTATTGTACTGGATTTTCTTCCCAGAGCACTTTGAGTTCCAAGAAGAGAATAGAGACACAGTTATATATGAAAAGGACACATTCTCTGCCTTGCAGCTCTATGTCAGCTTTCCTTAAAACGCTACATTTTTTTAAAAAAGCAAACAAAACCTATTCTCCTTCCCTTGGAGGGTACTAACTTCTTTGCTAATGTGCATCCCGCAGATAGTTATTTTGGGTTACCAGTGCATACTGCTGTGTAGGAAAGAGGTAGCCGAGAGGCCTCTCAAAGTGCCTTCTTATGAGACTGGCCTTGGGCTGGTGTCTAGGGACATACTGGCAAATGGTTTTATTCTCCTTTACTAGAAAAGTGGTTCACTGTAACTGGACTGTGCAGTTTGATTGTTGCTAAACATCTGCTTTCCTTCAGTGGGTCTAGAATTTTGGAATGTGCCAAGGTAGAGGATGTCTTCATGAGCAGCCTTCAATCAAATGCTGAGTGCTAAGGTTCTCAGGAATTTTTGGTGGGCAAAACACAGCAGAGGTGCTGCTCTGTTTTTATTGAAGTGTGTCTTCTCACAGGAGAGAAGAGAACAAAAGTTTATGTGTGGATTTCTCCAGACTCAGCCTATTGTCTTTTCCCCCTACTTACCTTACTGTGTTTCCTCTTATTATAATAGGTCCGCTGATGTGTATACAATTATACTCTGAGTATCAACATCTTAACAAAACATCAGCTATGTAGATGGTCCCGTAGACACCATTTGACACAACTATGACTGTGTGAATTCTGTAAATAACAGATATAACACCAACGTAATGAAAATGTGTGTATTTCTCATAAACTGACATTTAAGAGATATTTCAAAATCTTAAATTTTTTATATTTTCAATATAGACATGATAATCGAGAGATATTTCAAAATCTTAAATTTTTTATATTTTCAATATAGAAATGATAATCGATGTTCAAAGTCTGGCAAAACAATTCTTTCAGGATTTGTTTTTTGTTTATGTAGAAGGAGATGCATGAAAGGCTGCCCAAGTCGAGACCAAGCTACCAAGATGAATCAGGTAAACATCAGAAATAACTGAGTGAGTCATGAAATCTATTAACTCATTCTTTCAGCTAACAGTTATTTTTCTCTTGATACATACTATTTCTAGTGCTAGACACTGGACAAATAAAGGAGAAAGTTTTCATTCTTTCACAGAGCTGTGATAGTGTGGTAGGGAAATAGTCATGGCAAAAATCACAATGCTCTATTGTAAGTGCAATAAAGAAAGAAAGTATGTGTAAAAGTAGGAAGGCTCAGGAAGATCATCTACAGCTATCAGGGAAGTCTTCAGAAAATATCAAACTTAAGATGTGAAGGACAATGAGAAATAATTTATTATCTTCTGCTGTTTTTATTAAGTCAATGACAATATTGGCATCCAAAATTGAGAAAAATATTATTTAAGTTTTGTACTCATGTCCTTATACCTATTGTATTCTGCTGCACTGTACCTCCCCAACCCCAAAACACTTTTGAGTGCACAATTAAAAATATACACTGATCTTGTAATTTGATATGTGTATTCATTGTAAGATACTCAAGCCAATTACTTTATGTACCACTTCACATGGTTACACTCCATTGGCGCGCATGTGTGTGTTTCTGTGTGTATGTGCTCAGAACACTTAAGGTCTACCTTAACACTTTCAAGTATATCGTGAAATATTTTTAACTACAGTCACAGTACACTAACTGTCTAGTACTTACTAACTGGATAAACAAATTTTTATTCCACTTTACCAATATCTCTCCATATCCTCCTTCTCCTTTTCTTTGGTTGCCTCATTTTATTCTCTCTTTTTTTGAGTCCGAAATTATATATTCCCTATATAAATGAAATCATGCAATAGTTGTCTTTCTGCACTTTTGTCTTATTTCACCTGCCTACAAGCATCCTACAAGTTCATCCATTTGGTTGCAAATGGCAAGATCTCCTCCTTGTTTTGCGGGAATACACAGATGTTTTTATTGGTTTGTTTTTAAAATAGTGTTGGCTCCACACTTAGATTCTGAAGACACTGCATTCTAAATCTCAGTTATTTCATCTCCAAAGTTGAGCACACATGAAACATATGTACAAAGAAAGATCAAAAAGGTTCATATGCATTATCCATTGCTATTGATTATACATTCTTTGGAAGAAATGAAATACCAATTAACTTGACTTTAAAATGACTCTAATTTCTAACCAACATATCTACTTCCAAAACTTTTTATTTGCCCAAGATTTATTTTATGTTTTTGTAATTGACACGTATAAAGCCACACAAATCTAGTCCAGTATAGAGGTTTTTTGCATAGAAATTTCCTGTATCATCTACATCCAGACTTATCACCATCAGAAACCGAGTTTTCCATACTATATACAAAGCAAGGTAGATAATATTTCAGCACCAAGAGATGATTGACTGATCTAAGAAAAGATATATGAATCATATATTCAACAAAGAAGTCATATGGAGATGGAGTTCTTATTACTTTGTATGCCGAGGATGGAGTGGTGAAATCATGTTGTCATTGGGAATATATAAGATTTAACATATAGTAAAATGAAGAGTTTTGAAGTATATTTAGAGTATTTTGTGAGGATATGTATTCATTTAGATAGATTTCAAGAGTGGCTTTCTTCAGGAATTCACATAAGCTTAATGGGAACCAAAAATTTAAAACAGAATGCCAGGAGCGCATTCCAAAAGAATGGCCCAGGTCATAGCCAATGTGATATATTTAGCAAATTGCAAGTAATTCTGTTTCTGGGCCACAGAATATATGTGAAAGACTAGCCAAAGAGATACTGTGCAGGAGGACAAGGTGTCAGACCTTAATATATGTTTTTGCCTACACACTTTGGCTTTTTCCTTGAGGGATTCCTAAAAGCTTGTAAACAAAGTAGTCAAAACAGAAAATGAAGACCTACTGGAGGATGTTACTGCCTAGAAAGGGAAATGAATTAACCAATTGAACCTGACTTAATTGGTAAATCAAGGATGCATAGAAATTTAAATTTCCCTTTTATCTTCTATAGATCCTCAAATTCATGCTGTGGACCCGGATGTTTTTTCTTCTCCTATCATCTCAAGTTTGTAAGTATCTTAAAATCAGTGTGCAATCATGATTTAGTATTTTAATAATTTCACACAAGTGTGTTTCATAAGCTACATGGAATCTTCCCTTCCTATAGTTCTTCTTGGAATTAGTGAAACTTCATTTTTGGAAAACCTGGGCCTAAATTCAATATGTAGCTACGAGCAGCGTTCGTCTTCCTCCTTTTTGTCTTCTTCTTCTCCCTTCTCCTATATTCAGGATCTTCATGCCTTTTTTCCACATGGTTCCCCATAATCTGAATGCTTTTCTCTCTTCTCTTTAAAACCAATTTACCATCTTCATGCCTTTTGGGATTACTGGCTTCTGAAGGATGTTACAATAGCTTAGCATACAAAACTAATGATCCGATCAATAATCCCCTTCCTACAAGGTACACACAGTGCAATCCAAAATAATAATTTCTAATTATACAAGTTTTAGACACTTCCAAGGTATATTTTAAGCTCAAATGCTTTTCATCCTCAGACTTTGGCGGCAACCTATTTTAGTGGTTTGTATTTATTTTTCTCAATGTGAGAAGAGGAAGCAAGATTACCATTTAAGACCAATTCTATCATATTCTTTAAAAAATTAAAGTCAAATGAAGTCCAAGATAGACTAAGAGGTCCAGATTCCTATATAAATATTTGGGGAAAATGAAAGGTCTGTGGGAGCAAATTGCCTTGACATTAAACCATGCTTTTGGTTGGAAGAATTTTAACTTTCAGTTTCTGTGACTTTCTGAGCTTTCCCAGAAGACGAGGCACAGTAACAGACGCAAAATAGAGGGAACTGATTCCACTTCTCAGCAAAACAACAAGGAGAAAGAATGATGAGCATACGTAGATGATAGCCATGATTTTAGGTGTTGGAAATATAAATACTTGCTTTCTAAACAAAGGAAAAACCAGAGGAGGCTCATACTTAAGTCTTAATTTTTGCCTTCTTGAGTTTTCTGTCTAAAAATCCAGACCTACAGCATCACTTCAATCTTTCAGAACAAATACTTGCATTAAACAATCTTAGCTCAGTTAAAATGAAAAACTTTTGCATGAGCTGAATTTCCTTCACAGCCCCTCCCAAGTTCACAGGCCTGTGACTCTGGGGCTGCACAGCCAGTGGCCAGAGTGCAGATCAAGCAGATACCGTACATCTCGCACTGCCAGCTGGTCTTGCTCCGCTCATCACAAACATCACCCAGTAATCCGGTTCTGATTTAGCTCCAGGTTTCAGAAGATGTCACGTTTGTCCCTTCCTTCACCTTCTTACTCAGCCCCCACAACTTTATGCCTAGTTCTTTATTTTTAAATATTAAGAAAAACGCACATGCAAAGACTTATAAATCAGGAATGAAAATTCATGACCAACAGATTGAAGACAAAGCAAGTATGAGAGCACTTGGAATAAATAGAGTTGCAATCATAAAACAGTGAACTTGGATAATGAGCAACTTTTTATTATTTTAAGGAGAATATAAGGAAAGTATTGAAGAAGGCAGTAATTTTGCCACAGCAATGACCAGTTAGAAACTTGTGGCTTATGTATTTATAGTCTGATGGTGTATTGAGCTCAAACATTTACTGAGCTTCCACTATGTACAAAGAATAATGCCGCATGTCTGGCAGATACTGAGATGTACAGAATTGCACGACTGTGATTGTAGGGTATTTCTCTACTAGCGAGGGGACAAAAACAGGCCAAGTTGAAACATCACCTAGCTCAGTATTCTTTTTTGTTTTGTTTGTTGGTTGGTTTGGTTTGGTTTTTTGAGACAGGGTCTCACTATGTAGTTGAGGCTGACCTGGAATTCACTACAGGCTGGTCTCGAGCTCAGAGCGATCCTCCTGCCTCAGTCTCCCGAGTGCTGGGATTACAGGCGTGTGCTGCCATGCCTGGCTCATAGCTCAGTATTCTTACCATTTTTCTCGAAAATCCTCACTGGAATATTGTGAGCTCCTGGTTAACTTCTGGAATTCTGCAAATTATAATTTTGATCATTTTTGCCGACACCTAATGTTTTTATAGTATTTTACCCTGATACTTTTGCTGACTTTATCTGGCTTTTTTTTTTTTTTTTTTTAAATTTGCACTAAAAATTGCACATAGACTTCTGAGGTACTCTCCAATTATTTAATATTGTATTCCTTTACACCATATTTCTATTTCACAGGAAAAATGAAAACAATTTATTTTGGTATTTTTTGCTTTTTTGTTTTTTTTTTTTTTTTTTTTAATGACTGCAACTCTAACCCAGGACCTTGTGGTACTAGGAGCTATACTCTGAAAGCAACACTTGCATTTAATAGTCTTCCATGAAGCTTTCTCAGAAATTTGGTTAATTTTATTCATAGATCTTTGCTCTTTATTGTATCTTTCTGCATGTTTTTTGGTGCAGAAAATCTGTTGGCAAAAGGTATCTTTGAATGCAAACGATTCCATTTTGTGTCTATGGAATAACATGGAAAGAAGAGAAAAGTGAAACTGAAAGTTAGATTTTAGAATAACTAAAAGGAGAAAAGTGTGGACATTTTGGTTAACACACTAGTAATAAATGAGTACAAAGAAAAGAGAACAGGGGCCGGGGATTTAGCTCAGTGGTTCTACCGCCTGCCTTGCAAGCACAAAGACCTGAGTTCGAACCCTGGTACCAAACAAAAAAGAGAACATGTCACAGGCATCCGCATCAGTGCTACAGGTTCCATAGTGCAGAAGCTTCTAATGTGAGGCTAAACTGCTCTTACCGAGTCCTTTTAAACTGCAATCTCTGTATGTGGCCCAGGCTCCCTTCAGACTTAGAGGGTTCGGGCAACCCTCCCGCCTCTGCCTGCAGATTCACTAGGATAACTGCTGTGTGCTAACAGGCCTCGTACCATAGCCCAGTCTCTGAACTGCAACCACTGTGGTTTTTGTTTTCTGCTAAAATTTAAGACATAATATTCATTCTAACTTTTCTCAAAATTAAATTTTGCCTTTTGGCAAAAAGTAATCAAGTAAAATACAGGCCTAGAGAAAATAAAAAGTAAGAATTGTTTTTAAGGAAAAAAGAAAGATGATCAAAAGCCCATGCTGACAAAAATATACAAGAATAAATCAGAACTTCAACTGATAGCTTACGGCCTATATTTGATTTTGTTTTTCTGTCATTTTATGACAGAGTTCTTTGATTTGGTATAAGTCAGATCTGTTTTATTTTGTCAGTGCATGATACAAATCTCATAAGAACATCATAAGATAAAATATATTGAGACAAAAAGAGATATATCTAAATTGTACTCAATATAGCTAGAAACCCATAATTTTAACCCATGATTATAGAATAATCACTCATGTGTTCTTTTCACTGTGGGGAAGGGATAGTGGGACTGTGGAATTTGAAAGGGTAAGTAAAGTATTGTCAGAAAGCTCTCCCAAAGCTTTGCTTCTCTGCAGTGCCTCTTAGCAGATCCATGGTCTCACTGTCCTCTCCCCCAGAGAGCCACAAAGCAGGCCTGGATAAGGCGTAACAGAAACACAACTGCCAGATGGGTGTGCTGTTTATGTAGCATCTACAAATTCCATTCCCCTGAGTAGTAATAAAGGACATTTCTGAATCCAGAGGCCCATATGTAAGGAGGAGATGAAAGAAAATAGTGGTATTTCTTTTGAATTTCTGTAGAGAAATTTTCTGATATAAAATAAACTGATTAGAGGACTAAAATTTTGAAAATCTTTCATAATTCTTCATCCTAATAACTAAATGACCAACTTTCTTTACAGACAACAGAATCTTCTACAAAATTGTGTGCAAGCAAAAGTACGTATCATAAAACTCACTGATAAAGCAGCATATTAGTTATACTTTCTAACTTAGTTAACTTAGTTAACTTTCATAGTGGGAAAACAGTTGTGAATCGGACACCCGGGAGTGTTGCACTGACGTTTACCAGTCCTTATCCTTTGTACTTTATCCTCTCTGATGTTTGCTTCCAGTTTAGTCTCAGATTTTGTTAGGGTCTAAAGTTGTTATCAAAAGGTAGTGGGTGGCCCTTGGGGAAAGGGTTTGGTTAGACCAACCAGTCAGGAAAGACAAAGCATCATAGCCGGGCGTGGTGGAGCACACCTGTAATCCCAGCACTTGGGAGGCTGAGGCAGGAGGATCGCTGTGAGTTCAAGACCCACCTGGGCTACATAGTGAGTTCCAGGTCAGTCTCAACTACATAGTGAGACCCTGTCTCTAACTCCTCTTCACACAAAAAAAAAAAAGAAAGAAAAAAGAAAAAGAGCATCATGGAGTAACACATTTTTAACACACTATTTCACATGGACACCTACTGAATCCATAGAGTGTTCAACAAATGCAAGCTTTTCTTTTTTTCTTTTTTTTTTTTTTGTATGGGGGATTGAACTCAGGTCCTTGCACTTGCAAGGCAGGCCACCGAACTGTTGAGCTAAATCCCCGGCTGCAAGCTTTTCATTCAAGGGAAATTTCTCAGCTTAATATCATAATAAGAAACATTGAAAAATATAATTCCATGCTGTACTGGAAACATTAGCCACAGAAATTAGACAAGAGAAAGAAATGAAAGCAACAAAGATAAGAAAGGAAGAGTTAAATTGTAATTATTTGCTGATGGTATGATACTCTACATTGAAGACCCAAAAAACACAACCAAAAGACTTAGTGACTTAATTGACAGATTTAGCAGAGTAGCTGAATACAAGCTCAACACTCAAAAATCAATAGCTTTCTTGTACACAAATAAAAGGCTCACTGAGAGAGAAATTAGAGAAACAATCCCTTTCACAATAGCATCCCCCAAAATGAAACATCTAGGAAGCAATCTAATGAAAGAAGCAAAAGACCTCTACATTGAGAACTACAATACTCTGAAAAAAGAGGTCAAAGAGGATATAAGAAAATGGAAAGACATCTCTTGCTCCTGGGTAGGAAGAACCAATATAATGAAAATGGCCATACTTCCTAAAGTGCTGTACAGATTCAGTGTAATCCTGATTGAAACCCCAACAGTATATTTCACTGAACTGGAGAAAACAATCCAAAATTCATTTGGTACCAGAAGAGACCTAGAGTAGCAAAAGCAATTCTAGACAACAGAGACATGGCAGGAGGTATCACAGTCCCCAACTTGAAACTATACTGCAAAACCACTGTGATAAAAAACATCATGGTGCTGACAATGAAACAGATCCAAGGATTAAGTGAATAGATTAGAAGATGCAAAAATAACTCTAGACATACTCAGCTACCTCATTTTTCATGAAGAAGCCAACGATCCTCACTGGAGGCAAGATAGTCTCTTTAATAAATGGTGCTGGAAAAACTAGATTTCAACTTGCCAAAGATTAAAACTAGACCCGTGTCTTTCACCATGCACGGAACTAAAATCCAAATGGGTTAAAGATTTAAATATTAAAACAGAAAAACTAAACTTATTGGAAGATAAATTAGGTAGAACTCTTGAAGATTTTGGCATAGCAAAAGACTATGAACAAATCTTCAGTCACATGGGAACTAACACAAAGAATAAACACCTGAGATCTCTTTTTAACTGCAAGAAAAATCACCAAGAGCTAAGAGATAACCTACAATGTGGGAAAAATTTTTTACCTCAGACAAAGGTCTACTATCTAGAATATGTAAAGAACTCAAAAAAATCGCACACACCGAATTTATAAACCCACTTAAAGAATGGGCATCTGAAATGAACAGGCATTTCTCAAAGAAAGAAGTAAAAGCAGCAAATAAATATATGAAAAAATGTTCAACATCACTGGTCATTCAAGAGATGCAGATGAAAACAATACTGAGATTCCACCTCACCCCAGAAAGAATGACTGCTAACAAGAAATCAACCAACAACTGTTGGTGGGGTTGTGGGGAGAAAGGAACTCTTCTTCATGGTTGGTGGGAGTGCAGACTGGTGCAACCACTGTGGAAATCAACATGGAGATGCCTCAAACAACTAGCATTAGGAGTCCCATTCGACCCAGCTATTTGCCTGCTGGGTATCTTCCCAAAAGAATTAAAAGAATCATACTACAATGATATACTTACCCATGTTTATAGCGGCATGTTTATATAGTCTGTAATAGATAAAACTTGGAAAAAGCCTAATTGCCCATCAACTGGATAAAGAAAATACGTTTTTTATTATATAAAATGGAGTACTACTCAGCCATAGAGCCTGAGAAACTAGAGACATTTATAACTAAGTGGATGCATGTTGAGGACATACTCTTAAGTGAAATTAATAGGACACACATGTGTAAATACCAAATAATGTCTCTGGTGCGATAAACTAAAAGTGTAAATAAGAATCAAAATGTATAATGGATATTGTACATTTGTGATAGGAGAAAATGTCTAAAGGTTTAGGGAAAGTGGGAGGAGGGGTAGGGGAAGCGAAGAAGGGAAAAGAAAAAATAAGATAAAAGTAAAAAGTGGAAAACAAAGTCTCTGTAAATAGGAAAAGATGGAGGAGGGGATGACCAGAGGGCAGGGGAATGGGGAAAAAATAAGAACCAAGTTATATCGTGTAAAGGTACAAGATCCCAATGATAAATGTAACTGTACTGTATACCTAAAATGTACCAATAAAGAAAAAAGAAAAAAGAAGTTAAGTGTATGAATATCATATTCTTTGCCAAGATATTTGCCTAATATGTGCCTACATGGCAACTTGGTGTTTTTGTCCTTTTTAAAAAAAAAAACAACAACATTTTAATCTCAGCAGTAAACCAGGAAAATTTAAATAGTAAAAACTTCTGAAAGAATGTGACTGAGTAAAAAAAATATATCCATAAGTATTTCTATGCTGTACAAAATAAACTAATTTAAAGTTAATGTATAATTATAAATAGATTTTAATATTTTTTCTTCACAAACTATAATGGTATTCCAGTTATGCACTGTTTCCTATAAAATTAAATATTACTGCCAGTCCACAAAACATAAAGTATAATATTGAATAATTTTTTATCCTTGTCTCTTTTCCAGGTAACTTCTGATGAACTCAATAGCATAATTCAAAATATAATGACTTGGGTAGTGGCTACAGTAACTAGTATATTATACCCAGCCATCACAAGGTATGAAGAAAGGTTGCAAAGTACTACCTACCCAGTGTCTGATGACTCCACCCTCTCTTCAGATAGTTCAAGCTTTTGCAGCACATGCAGTGAAAAGTTTACATACAGAAGCTACACATCTGCAACTACTAAAACATTTCAGGCAGAGACTTGCACAGTTAATGTGTCTGCAGGGAAACCAACCCCGCCTTTAAAAACTCCTTCTGCCCTGGTGGAAAGAGCAGTTATGGACAAAACACATCACATGAAAGGACAAACTGTAACCTCTGAGCTCAAATATAACAAGGCCAATTTGATATATGCATATCCTGAACTCAGAAGTTGTAAATCTGATAGTCAACTTTTAGCATCTTTGCAAACAGACACAAAGAAATCTAAGGATGCTACCACCGAAACAGATGGCTCAGTGCATCCACTGCCTTGTGATAGAAAAGCTAAAGCCATGGATGAGTTGGAGAATTTAAAGAATATTTTTGTTAACTTTAAGTGCCACTTGAAAGGGGAAACTAAATTGATTTTGGAGAGCATTTTTCAAGAAATAATGTCTGATTTAACCCAGGCCGTTCCCTCTATTTCTTCTGTTACTGCTGAAGTTTTTGTTGACCATTTTCAGCATGAAAAAGAAGACTTGGTCTCCAATGTTGATATCTGCTCATTAGCTTCGGACATTGTGGAAAATGTGTATGAGAAGCTAGAGTCTGCAGTCGAGAAAAAATGTGTTGAGAAATTTTCACAAGAAAACTTGTCAGTAGACACTAAGTCAAGTTTAACAGCTAGTGGGGAATATATCACATCATCAAATGGAAAACCTTCAGAAGATTCCCCTCTTTGTACTTTGGAACCTATGTGTAATATTGCAGAAGATATGGTGCATGACATTTTAGAAAAGCTGATGACACTTGCATCACTCAAGCAAAATGTACGTCCTCTTGAAGACACAACTAATTATTCCCACCCACCACAAAGGACAGACCGGACATATACCATCCTCCAAAGAGCTAGCAAAAAGAAATCTCTTGAACATGAGACAGCTAATTTAATCGCTGATGAAGAAATACAAAATTTGATGTCAAATATTTTTTCACAATCCTCTTTAGTTGATTACATAGAGGAGGCAATCGGCACAATATTAGGTTATATACAAACTGAACTTAATAACGAGAGACTTATTGCATCTGAACAAACAGTAGTGTTCCTTCAGCTGCTCAATGATATCTTCACTCATCTTCACCAGGAACCAGTAAAACCAAATATTCGAAAAAGTAGGCGATCTAGACAAAAAAATCTATCCGACACTAAGGAAAACTACAGGCTCACTGGCACTGCAGTGTTTAATGGTGCTCAGTCTAAAAGACCATTGCCACGTGTGAATGTTCCAGGCATGGTCTATTACTCTGAAGATGATAATGAAGAAATAAACAACATTGTGAAAAATGTGATTGATTCATCTCTCAGAGATGAAAACGCAAAATCACACGAACAAACATCTAATCATTGGTTCCGAAAAAGAAACACTTCATTTGACTACAGAAGAAATAGACCACCGACCAAGCCTTCTTCTCACAGCAAAGTTGCATTTCATGATTGGGAGTTAAAGTCTGAGCTACCACCACTTATCAATGAAGATATTTTAAAGGAAAAACACCTCCGAAACAAAGACATTTCAATTTTTAGCCAAGATAAAAAGCATCAAATAAGAAAGGCTTCAGAGAAGACTGTTAAACATATTTTAACGGAAATGCTCAAGGATATATCTTCTGTTTCTCCTGGTCACCGAGGTAGCAAAATTGGCAAAGAAGCTTCCATTCTTGTTTCAGAAGAATCTCAAGGACTCTCTGATTACAAATGGATGGACCAGATGTTCTCTGGGTCAGAAATAAGTGCAGTGGCTCAAGAAATAACAGAGTCTGTGTTAAATATACTTTTTAAGACATCAAACTCCTTGTCCAATTCCACTAAAAGTTCTGCTCCATCACCAGTTCATCAAACTTTTCTAGATAATTCTGACATTACCCAAATAGTCAAAGAAGCACCCGATAAAAAGCCACTAAAAACATGGTTCGATAGTGATAGGAAAATGAAATACTTATCTTCACTTGATGCGGATTCCCCAAATCCCTCCTGGTTAAGGTCAGGAGAAAGGGAACCTAAATGTGTAGATAACATTATCGATAAAATCACTAATACAATTTTTAAAAAGCTGAAGTTACTTGTTTGTCCAAAACTGCAAACAGAATTCAAACCTTTATCTGTGAAGCAATCATCATTGAAATCGCAACTGAGTACTTATACAACAAAAGTAGTAAATATTGTTTTATGTGCTATCCAGAGTGAAGTGGAATTCGATAAGAAAAATGTGATCCTTAGGGAGCTAGACCATAACAAATCCCATACAACTAAAGGGTTTTTTGCTGATATTGATAAAAAATTAGAATCTCTCATAACAAATCTGGAAGACAATGTAGAAAGTCCATTATTAACCTGGATTTGTGAGATGCTAGTAAGTAAAAATGAAAATCAAAGAAATATTTCACTCCCTTCAGAAAAAACAGGGTCTACAACTTTATTCGGACATGGCAGTACTAACAAACAAAATGTTTTGCTAAGTAGACAGGATAAAGAATCTTTCCATAAATATTTAGCTACTCCTTGTACTATCCACAGTGCCGTGAACAGAAAAGACCTCAAAGAAAATGCCAACTTGCAGGTATTAGACAGGATTGGGGAAACAGTACATGAAATGTTAAGCAAACTGATAGGTGCTCCTTCAGTTGCTCAAGCATCGTGTAGCGGACAAAACAGAGAAAATGCAAACAAAGATCAACAAATGGCTGCTTCACAGAAATCCAACATTCAGGTCATTTCCCAAACAATTTTAGAATATATCTTGGAAAAATTGTGTAGCATTGACGTGGATACCAGTTTTGCAAGTCCTGGTATTACAGCTGTGCCTGAATCTTTTGATATTGACAAGCTATCGTTTGCTTCAATTATTGAGGAAATGGCCAAATGCACCAACATAATATCCAGCATCATCTCCAGAAAGATACAGAAGAATAATAAAGAGGTGACTAAAAGCAAGCCAAATGGTATTTCTTCCATGTCTTCCAAATCAGAGAGCTCAAAAGAAACTCACCAAAATACACTGAAAGTTGTTGCGTCAGATATTCTTAATATGGTTTTTACTAAACTGGAAGGGTTTGCCAATGGAAGTTTAGAAATTCAAGGTGTTAGTGGTGGTAATGGTAATAAAAAATGCAATAAGATAGACAGGGAAAGTGACAATAACAGTTTTCTCTCAGATGCACACAAAGACCCATTAGAGTCTGTTTTATACATGCAGGCAAAGAAGGTGTCAAGTGCTATTTTGAAAGCCATTCAGACAGAATTAAGTGTGAACACAGATGATTTGACGAAAAATGTAAAAAAGCCATCACCTGAGACACAAATGTTTACAGACGTAGTCAATTTAATTTTAGATGCAGTATCCTCAGAAATGTCTGATGAAACTGAATCAGAGGACAGAGGTATTAAAACCTACCGATACCAACCAAGTTATGGAAATTTTCTTCCTGGAGGAGCTGAATCAGATTCATTTCTAGAAGACGATATGCATACAGAGAAAAAATTCACTAGAGAGAGAACATCACTGAGACAGGAAGTTAAATTCTGTTCTTCTAAACAAAGAGTTCTAGAAGCAAGCTTACACGAAATTGAAATGAAACTCAAAGAATCACATAAATCTCCAGTCATTCCCATTATAAGAAATATTTTGAATGAAATTTTTCAGAGCAATTTGATCAATCAGTTAAATGTGCTTTCTCTGTCCCACTCTTGTTTTAGTGGCTTGCCTCACAATGTTCCTGAGTCAACTGCTCAAACATCTGTTCAATTTATGAATAGAAGGATGGGTCCATTTGTGTCTGAAACAGATGTGATTATGGTGACAAATGATGTTGTTAGAATTGTATTTCATAAACTTTCTACAGCTGCCTTGACAGAAGAAGATGTAAGTGAAAACAGATGTCAAAACATCACGGTTTCAGCACATCTTTCCTTCCATGAACGTACCTATGGAGGGAACTCTGCTCCTATATTGGACAGAAATATTCGCACTTTTCAGCACAGATTCAATATTGACAAACAGACCAAGGTAAATATGATTGGAGATATTGTACAGGCAATTCTTCAAAAGTTGGAAACTTTTGCTATTTCCAAAATAAAATCTTTCTTTTGTTCCCAAGTCAGCCTCCTGGTCCCAGAGGTTTTAACTACTCAGCAAGATAATCACGCACTGAACAGAGCACTATCAGCTGAAGATTCGTACTCTGATGAGCAATATTTGTGTTGCTCTGTGGATCATAAGGCCAATTCATTTGGCCAGATCTCTTTGTCTAAATTAAATATTTATGCAAAAGAAGTTGCTAGAAAAATTTTGCAGGAGATCAAACATGAGGTAGATAAAGGAAGGGAAAGTCCTTCCTTGATTCCTAATATTGTGGTTTCGGAAAGCATTACAAGTCAAATTGTTAACACAATGCTAGATATTGTATCACACAAAAACAGATGCAGCAACAGCTGTGAGGAAGAGAATGACTCTGCTCAGCCTGACTGCTTTATTGAAAAGTTGTTCAATAAGACTGAGTGTAGAAAAATACTTCAGCTTCAAATACAAGATACCATTGAAGGTGTCTTATATGATGTCTATGAAAAAACCCTGTGTAAGAATAATCTCTCATTTGCCATACTCTCCCTGAAAGAGAACAGAGCTGGAAAATGTGCAGAACCAAATTCTGAAACGTTCCCTGAGGGTGGGAATAAGATTACCTCTGAACTCTCAGTTCCTAAATCAGATGTCCTCTTGCTATCCAGGGATGTAGTGGATATTGTTCTTCATAGTCTTGCTTCTGCTGCCATGCTTGACACAGGTGTGAAGGATCCTACTTTTGCAAGATCGACCTTTTGTGATATGTTTCCAAAAGGAGAATATCAAGCATCTCTTTTTACGGAATCAAAAAGTGAAGGAAGACCAGAGCATTTTCCATATTCAGGCAAAAAGAAGCCAGCATATGCTAATGGTGATCAGACAGCTAGAGAGGAAAAAGAGGATGAGGACACCAAGAACTCTGTTCCTGACCCATGTCATGAAAGTGCTGACTTCATCACTAAAATGATTTTTGATCGGTTACAAACTTTTGCCACAGAAAGAATAGATTCACTAATTCCTCTTGCTTTGCAGCCTAAAGGAATGTCATTTGTTAGTCCAGAACTGGAAAATTATACACAAGATGGCAGTGTTTTTCATGAATCAAGCCAAGTGGAACTAGATGTGAATATCCCGAAAAGATCAACAACTAAAACTGTTCTCAGCCAAGAGCTCACAGAACCCACTTTTGCCAGTTACAGAGAAAAACTTGGAGCCATAATTCATTTATCACAAGCTAGCCTGGAGGAATATGCTGATATCATTGCCAATGCTACTTTGAAGTTTATTAAAAATGACTTAGACTTAGAAATCCAAAAGATGCATCTGTATCCAAACAATAGTTTATTCCAAAAAAATATAATTGTGAGTGAAATTATAGATGTAATCTTAAAGATTTTACATAATAAAATATCTCTAAAGGAAATTAATTTTTCCTCAGAGGAGAATCTTAACTTTTCACAAGTAACTCTATCAAATGAAATATTGCTGGGACACAAAGAGAAGGAAAAAAACACTTCATTATCTCTGCTTACAAACCATCCATTAGAACAAAGCCCAATGACATTTGAAAAGGAAAGCCAAAGAATTGTTTTGGAAGAAATATTTATGATAAATGGAAAAACAGAACAAAAAGAAAAGGCTGAATTGCTCAAAACAGTGGCAGAACTTTTGAGTAAGTTAGATCAAAGAGTAGTAGAAGTCATAGGTCATTTGCTTCCATTTAACAAAGTCCCCCATTTAAATTCTAAAATTAAAACATCAGATACAACAGGAAAAAACTTCTGTCAGTCACACATTAGCAGTGTAGCAAATGACATCATTGAATGTGTTTATGGTGAAATGTACTCCGTTGTTCTGACATTGTTATACAAAAATGATGAAAGTAGGAGAGAAGGAGAAACACTCCACAAGAATGATATCTTTCCAATGAAAGCACCGTACTCTGGAGGGACTAAGCAAGCAGGAAAAAGAAGTAATTCCCTTAGATATGGGGTACCAGAGATATGTTCTAGTGCAGACAGTCAAAACATTTCTGTGTCAGCAAACACTTCTGTGCGATATTCACCATTACAAATAGGAAATGACTTAGTCCAAATAGTTCTCAATAAGATCGCAAATTTTGTTTCACTGCATCTAGAGGAAATTTTGTCCCCTTCAGGGTATTCGAAGGAGGTGTTGCATCTTTGTAGATTACCGAACTCTAAAAGTGGCCCTATGGACTGCCCTAAGGCAGGTTTTAAAACAAGTTTAAAAGCAAGATCTATTCCTAAATTTAAAACAAAGCCACCCTCAGGACCTGGTGTTGCTAAGGCAAAAAGCAAGACCAAGTTCGGTGCTGGTGAGAAGACACCAAGAGATGGTCCGTCGAAGACTGCCATTCGGCTGCCACACATCTTGGCAACAGCAGATGCCGAGAACTTACTAGAGACAAAACTTCCCACTTCAGAACTAAAAATGTGTGCCAAGGATATAATAAGTAATATTCTCAAAGCAATAATGAAAGAATTTGAAAGGGTGACAGAAACTAGAGCAAAGCTACATACACAAGTTTTACTATCTGATCAAATCATGGAAGCCAGTAAAATAGTTAATACGGTTTTGCAAGAACTGTATGCTGCAAACAAGCACAATTTGTCTTCTCCAGTCAAATCCTCACATCTGTATGATCTCAAACTTACAAAGCGGTGTTTAAGTGCTCAAGAACAAGCATGTTTTTACTTAGAGGATGTTTCCTCACAGTTAGAACAGATTTTTCCTAAAGAGGGTATATTTAAAAAAATGTTTGACAAATGGCAGACAGATTCAAATGACACGAACAATGAAAAATTTACCCTGTTGACAATAGCTGGTAATGTTTTGACTGAAATTTCGATAAAAGCCAAAGATTTAGAATATTCTCTTTCACTTTTATACTTGCCACCTCTTGAGCACTGTGAAAGCAGTTTCTCCAATCAATTTAAAGAAGATTCTTCCAGAGCAGAGGATATCAAAGCACAGATTAATATGTTTGAAAGAGAAATTGTTGAAATGCTGTTTGAAAAATTGCAGCTGTGCTTTTTGTCCCAGGTGCCCAGTCCAGACATCAAAGAAACTCCAACAATTGGGAAAGAGCACAGTACTTGTAAAAGTAAGCAAGGTTTCCCAACCAAGCCCATCATCAGTGGTTTAACAGTGTGTAACACTAAGACAAAAGCTCAAATTTCCACCACCTCTTTCAAGCAAGTCACTCAAGAAATTGTAGGAAGGGTTTTGAATCTGTTAGAGTCATTTGTGGACTTACAGTTTAAACATATCTCTAAATGTGAATTTTCTGAAATAGTGAAAATGCCTATTGACAACCCTTTTCAAGTCCAACAGAGATTATTAAGCAAAAGGATATCACCAAAATTACAACCAATGAAAAACTTTTCTGATGAGTCCAAGTCCCACACTGTTATTTCCAAAGAAAACATACAGAATACCCTTCTACAAGTTCATTCATTTCATTCAGAATTACTTACATATGCTGTTCATATTGTCTGTGACATGCTTGCTGTAATCAAGAGCAAATTGGACAAAGAAATAAACCAAATGGAACCATCTTCCACTAATATATTGAAAGAAAACATTGTAGCAAGTGAGATCATTGACACACTAATGGATCAATGTACTCATTTCAGTGAGTCTTTCATTGAAAACCTTTCGGTGGAAAGTTCATTCCACCGAACGGAAAACACTTATCTTGTTAAGCAGGATGAATCTGCAAATAGTTTGAAAATGCCCGCACCAAAGTCAGAAGATGCTAATTTGAGGCACAATCTTCCACAAGGAAATATATCGGGCTTGGTATTTTATTCATTGGAAGATATGAGAAAAAAATATGAGCTTTCATCCAACTTACCCTCATATGTCACATCTTCTATAGAAGACACAATTAAAAGTTCAGAGTCAATGGGAAGGTGTGATTTTGAAACTATGTCAGTATGTTCTAAAAATAAAGTTCAAGAACATAGCCAAGTGAAACTTAACTTTGACCATTTTGATGAAGTCCTGATAGTAAATAGCTCTCTCCCTAAAGGTAGTATCTTGCAAAAACTGTATAAGAAACCAAATGACTCCACAGAAACATCTTTAAAGCAAGTCATGTCTTTCATAGATATGGGGAAAAGTGAAAATCCAAGAGTATTTCATTATGGGACCCTAAAACCCATTTTTGAGCCAAACCAAATTCAGACAACGGTTTCTCCACACAGAATATGTTTAGCTGCAGAAAATATTGTCAATACTGTGCTGTCCAGCTATGGTTTTCCAAATCAACCACACACTAATAAAAGCATGGAAACAATGAAACCATTTTTTATGTCAAAGCAAAACTCTTTATCTGAAATATCTACAGGACAAACAAATAAGAATAGTTTGCTTAGAATATGGACTAAAAGAATGTATGAGCCTGAAGAAAGTGAAATTGCTGAAGTTTGTGGGGGAGATTTTTCTTTATTGCAAAAATGGCAACACAAGACTCCAAAGATAAAGAAAATACAGAATCCCAAAGAAGTTGAAGTCATTGCATTTGCTGATCATGAACTGGGTCCAAATGAAATTCATTTGGTAGCAATGCATGTTACTACATCTGTGATCACATGTTTGAAGAACTTCAAAACTAGAGGTAAGCAAGAGACAAACATTAAGATGTGTTATGTACTCATGCCCACTTCCCATGATACATGTACTAATTATGTACTGTAAACATGTTCCAATAAAAATTTTAAAATTAAAAAGTTGATGTGACTCAGAGAAAATACTAAAAGACATATTTAAAAGATCTCCTGTCCAAGAATATGCATTCTCAGGTTTGTTTGTTTGTTTTAATGAAAATAGCCTTGAAAGTGAAATGACTATTTAACAGCTTGTCAGTCTCCCAGGATGCTAAAAAAATTATCAAAAGTTTAAATATTTTCATGGCTTGAATTGAGAAATTCTGTTGTTTGCTTTTCCATATCTGTAGATGAGGGAAAAATGAGACAATTTTAAGTCAAGGAATTTTGCTTGAATGCCAGGTATGGATTCCAGGGGTTTCAAAGTTCATATGCATGTTTCTGCTTTCACAATCTGTTACTAACATTTTTGGAATTGTAAACTATTTTAGTCAACATGATATGCAACAAACTCCTTAGTATCCTTAAAGTAAAACAAAGCATAACTTTAAATATTAAAAAAATATTTATATGATACACTAGAGAAATAAAAGTTTGTTCCAATATACCTATAAAGTATTTCTCTGCTCTAGAATTTCTATCTTAGAGCCCACCACAATATAAGCAAGATGATACCAACATATGGCTTACAGGTTTGAGTTCTGATGTTATTTTCTAAACTTATTGAGTAAAATTAAGATTTTGCAGCATCAGAAATAAATATTTGAGAAAAACACAATTTGTTTCCTTAGGTGTTTCTTTTCTTAGAGTGAGGTACTCCAGAGGCAAAATACATGTATAAGTAATTATCAACATGTGTAAATAATTACCACAGGTGGAATTTCCAATATTCCTTTAATGTATACTAAAAATGGCAATGTTTTCTTTTTTTGGTTTTCACTGCAGAGAAGGCATCTCTTGTTTCTACACTGTCAAGTAAAAACTGTGAAGCAAGACATCCTCTAAGAAGCATGTACAGTAATTCTTCAATTAATCAATTCTGTAACCATCTCACTGAGTCAGTCATTTGCCATTTAATTTCAAGCTTATCTGAGGGTACCAAAGAGGGTAGAGAAGAAGACAAAGTATGGGAAATCCAAAGTATGTCATTCCACAAGATTGCTTTGATTCATTCTCAAGTACTTGAGAACAGATCACTATCTATTAGCGAACTCGCTCTAAGTATTTCTGAAATCATTATTGAAATTCTTTATAATAGTAACGTTATAGAGGCTGACACTGGACAGCAAATGGTTTCCATAAAAACAAAATACGTTTATTGTCCAGGAATAGCTTCTGTAGACTTTGATGATTTTTTTCAGGATCTCTTAACAGGAGTAATTCAAGTACTGTCTGAAGAAATAGGAATAAATCATCACTTTAAAAACAATGGAAGAAACAAATTATGCTCCATGCTTGGAAGCAAAACTGGGTTTATTTGCAATAAAACCAATACCATGGACCAACCTACAGGCTCCAGAGTTTGGGAATCATCAACTCACCAAACTGATCAAGTTGTTCAGAAAGAGAAGTTAAACTATCTTACTTCTCAGTTAGACAGCCTAACTGGTATCCTAAAAACTCATGAATCCAAAGAAGTAGTCAATAAAGTATTTAATATTATTATAGATTTATTTTTGCCAGATGAATTCCCAGGTGGAGCTGTGGACTCTAGTAAAATAGCAAGAAGTTGTATCTCTTCCTCAAGTAATCAACAGAGTAATAGCATCCTTAGACATAACCAAGGGCTCTCCCCCAAATCAGTCTTTCTTCTCAATGTTGTATGTGAGAAACTCATTAGGACACTTCTGGAAAAATTCACAGGCACTGTCTGTATTGACGATGGTCTTTCTAATAAAATATCAGCAGAAGTTCATCAACTTTTAAAAATACTTCAAAGGGTAGAAGATGGAGATCTTGATGATTATAAGAGATCAGTGGACTGCAAAAATCTTCAAGGAGATTGCATGACAGATCTTTTGGAAGATGCAATAGAAATGGATCATGATTTATTGTCATCAGATTGTGTACTTACTATTATTTCTCACAGCTTAGTTAAATCATTGATGGATAAATTATCTCAGAGTTTACAAGAAACTCCTGAAAATCCATTGCTTGAAAGCAAGTATGAGAGCCATAGAACAAAAGAAATACAATCTGGTTTCACAAAGGCGAAAAGGCCCAAACTCATGGAGTTAGGACAAGGCAAGAGTTCTTTAGGATTCATGAGTTATGGCAGAACTTCTCTGACAGAATCCCTGAATAATCCCCGTGTGGCCAAACAGTGTACAGTAAAATCCTCTTCTTTGTCACCTCTTAATGGACAGAAAACAAAGGAATTAGATACAATAGCCATTCGTAACATATATCAAAGAGATATGAACACAGGTGTTTATTCAGCCACGTTTTTGGAGGAAATAATATCAGAGTTGTTTTTTCATTTCTCTACTTCCTTGTGGGAAAAAAATGCAAACATCACCGAGGCCCAGCTCGGTGAGATGAATACGTTGTTTATCAACCACGTAGTAAATGAGTTTAATAACGCTCAAATCACTGTTCTGAGGAATACTGAAGAAAGGCTATATTTTCCATCAATCCATAAAGAAATGGTCAGGAAGATTGTTGACTCAGTTTATTATAATATTTTACAGCAATATGAATTGAAAGTGACCTGTGGTAATAATCTGGAATATGAAGATGCTTCAATAGCTGAGCAAGTAACAAATGGTATATTGTTAGCAATTTCAGACTACCAACTCCCATCTTCCCTCAAGGGGAACCTCAGAACTCATTCATGTTACCCTCTTGAAGCTGAAGCTATACTGCAGAAGCTTCAAAGCAATTTAAGAAATTTTACGTTCCAAACCAGATCTTCAAAAAGCTATAGCACCATGTTACCACATTCCTTTTTAGAAGATGTCATTAGAAGACTTTTACTTCGGCTCCTTCCTCCATCTGTTAAGCCTTCCCCTTTGGAAAAAACGTATGTAATGAGTTCAGATTTTAATGAAATGTCCGCCTGTATAACAAATAAGGTCATGTCAGCCATTTCAAAACACAAAATATGGTTTACTGGCTATGAAAATCAAGACCTCCCTTCAGAAAAGAACCTCCAAAAGATGGTGGACTCTGTTTATGGCAATATTTTACAAATGTCTGACTCTGTTTCAGTGCAGGAAAGTATAGTCAAGCGAAGCCCAATTATGCTTGATTGCATAGCCAGTTTTATTATTCAAGAGATTATTGAATGTCATCTTCATCCATTCTTGTGCGGAGAGGTTTTACCTCAGCCAGGGACTCCACTGGATCCAGTGTCTAATATGGATAAACAGGTTCTTGATGAAGTCCTAGAATCACACAGGCCCCAGAAGCCATCGCTTGGAGGTATTTGCCCTGATCTACTTATAAAGGAAATGGTTACCAAACTTTTATCGAAGATTTTTAGCCCTAGGCCCAACACTGAATTTGAGCTGGAAAGCATGACACAAAAAATAGTAAATGCTGTGAACAAGCACTTTGACACAGGTGAAATTCACATTTTACGTGATGATAAGAAGTCCATAGATACAGATATTGTAGATGATCTCGTCACCTCAGTTTACAGAAATGTGTTGAACCAGTATGGACTAAACCCTAACATTGATAAAGAGAGTGAAAATAGTGATACTTTTGTGAGAAATATTGCTAATTTAATTGTAGTAGCTATTTCAAACTACCTTCTTCATCCGTTGTTTTCTGGTGATCTGTCAACTTCATCTTTTTCCATCTTTACGGCTGATAACATTGTTCGAGATATCCTTAGTAATGTAAGTCAATCTACCAGGTCAGACCAGAGTTTACTTCCATATAACACCTTACTGCCTTATGCATTCTTAGAAGATATGATCAGAGTACTACTATCAAGATTCCTTCCTGCATCTAGTGTGGATCCATATGGAGAAGCTCCAAAGGATAAATCAAAAGTGAATTTTAATGAAATTGCTTCCAACCTAATCAGTGATATTAGGATGAAGATTTCCCAACATGAAATTCGATTTTCAAAAGATGAACAGGAAACCATGTTCGTTTATTCAGAAGATGATGTTCAAAATCTTGTTGATTCAGTATTCAAAAATATTTTACAAAACTCTGCATCTCAAGAATCAGTGAAGCAAACTATTACAAGCAACAATGATGTTCTTATTGATAGAATAGCAGGTTTCATCATTAAATATGTCTGTGCACAACATCTTCAGCCATTTTTAGATGTAAATTCTTCTTCCTCATCCTACACACATTTTGAGAAGAGACAGCAGTCATTTTATGCAAGTGTTTACTCCTCAACTTTTTTGGAGGATGTGGTATCTGGAGTGCTAAGCAAAATATTCCACAGGGTGGTTGGTATTGTACAAATGAAAGATTCAGAAGATGAACTGTTTGATAAAGCTGAAAAACTCATACATTTGATAACAGAGGAATTCTCAAAAGATCAGGTTAGTGTTATAGAAAATGCCGAGGAACAGTTGTGTTTGCCTCCAGTGGAGAGAGAAGTAGTAAAAAATATCATTAATGCAGTATATAGTAGAGTTCTAGAAGAATATGAAATGGAAATCATGCCTTATAAAAATTTTCTGAATGACATAAGGACATTGGCTGCTCGGATAACTAAAATCATCTTGACTGAAATTTTTGACTTCCAAATTCATCCAGATCTTATAGCAAACCTGCCTCTTAAGTCCCATTCCAAACTCAGTGAAAGTGTTTTGATACATAGAGTCCAATATTATATTAGTAAGTCAAGATTCCGAAGACAGGCTTCAACGATATATACTACTATGCTATCACAAAGTCATTTGGAAAAAATAGTCACTCAGCTTGTATCTCAGATAAATCCATTGACACCCACTGTAAAATATCCAGACACTTCTCGATCAGGCCTAAATAATACAGTCATAAAACTGATAAATGAGATCATGTCAATAATTTCAAAAAATGCAATATGTATCACTAAACATGGAAATGAAAAACAAAATATGATTTCAGAAAAAGATATACAGTCTATGATTGATTCCATTTATGCTGATCTTTCTCATTCAAATGTATACAAGTCTCTCACAGAAGATAAAAAAGGCACAAGTAATATACCTGTTGCAAAAATAGCAAGTCTTATAATAAAAGAAATCTTTAACCATCATCTACAGTCATTTTTATCTGGAGATAAACCTCCTCTTTCAGCTTCTGTTGATCACATTTACAAACAGAAAGCCACAGATCCTAAACAAAAAAGATGGTCTTTTATTGTGAACTCAGCCGTCTTTTTGGAAGAAGTCATTTCTGAGCTTTTATGCAAAATTCTTTATGCATTCACACATAACGTCCTGGCTGTTGAGAACCCAGACATTGCAAAAGCCCAAATGGCTGGCATTGTTACAACATTAGTAAAATCGATTGTTCTAGAATTTACCACATCAGAGATTTTAGTTTCAGATGGCTTAGATAAAAAATTATGCTTTTCAGAGGAATATAAAGAAATGGTTCAAGTAACTGTCAACTTGATTTATGAAAAATTATTAGATGAATACAAATCTTTAATTAATGTGTTTAGGGCTATCCAAAGTGACGCTACCTGTTTAGGAAGGAAAATATATCACTTGCTATTGGAAGAAGTTTACTATTATCAGATGCAGTCATTAGTTTCAGGAGACTTAGTGGCCTCTTCCTATTCCTCCCTTCGAGCTGACATCATCATCAAAAATGTCCTCAGTGGCATCTTGAGTGACAGCAGCACCTTACCATCCTGGGTCACTGTGTTACCTCATTCTCTTTTAGAAGATATGATTTACAAGCTCCTGGTGCATATTTTTCCTCCAGCTGACACTGAAAATAAACCAACAGAGGAAGAACTGACTGCAGATGACGATTTTGCAGCTGCTGCTTCAGAAATGACTGATGAAATTATAAAAGAAATTTTTGAACATGAGATCCGACTCGCCACGGCGGAGGAGAATGCAGAAAGCATGCAGTTAGAAGTCCTTGAGAATTTGGTTGACTCCATATGTGACAATATTTTGAAAAAACCTGAATTCCAAGCTGAAGTACAGAAAGGTGCAGGCAAAAACGGAGGGTCATTTCTCAGTAAAGTTGCTGGCTTCATTATGAAGGAAATTATGGATCATCATTTACGGCCATTTTTACATGGTGAAGAAACATCTTGCAGTTACTTATCTGATTATAACTGTGCCTCTGTAGTTACTAAACCTAGTAAAGGAACAACACAGGCTTCTCTGTTTTCAGCTGCATTTTTGGAAGACGTAGTTGTTGACCTTGTTCGAAAATTTTTTTCTTTCCCAGCTATTAATGATTCTAAGAAAAAAGCACCACCAGAGCCAGATGTCGTGAGCTTAGCTATCAAATTTGCAAATGCTCTCCTAGGAGAATTTAGAAAAAATGAAATTAAAGTTTTACCACAGGCTGAAGAAAAATTTTGTTTTCTACCAATTAATAAAGAAATTGTTGCTGATATATCCAGTTTTGTATATGATCAGTTCATAGGGAAATTTGGGTCTAATGATATTCAGAAGGATGATACAAGTAATATTGTTGTAGAAATGATTGCTACTTTAGCCCAGAAGGCGATCTCTGCCTTCAAGATTCAACCACTATTCTCAGGAGACTGGTCTTCCACCTTCCTTTCATTTCTGAATCCAGATACCATCACCCAAAGGGTTCAACACTTACCAGAGAACACCTCCATGCAGATAACTAGATACTCGGAAGAGAACCGACTTGCTTTAGCAGAACAGTCACATAAACAGACTTCTCTAATCTCAGATCACAAAAAGATGATAGTCAGTTTGGAACAAGATAGAGGTTCGATGAGTAGCAAGAGTCTCCAAACTAAAGACCTATCAGTGAAAAAAGGAGACATCCAAAATCCAGCTCTTACCTCTAATGTTACCATTATGGAAAACAATGTTATGAACCTAAAGGCAGGTATGGCACATAAAAAGAAAGAGAATAAAAATAAACTGGGAATTTTGACTCCAACAAATAATAAGAATGCATCAAAATTTACTTCTCCAGCTACCAGGGAAAGTAGGAAAGAGCTTCAGGACCAAGATTTGAAAGAAACACTTGAACATAACACAGTTGCAAAGAAAAGAAAACCAGCTCCCCAAAATGAGGAGTTGCAGCGTGGTGAAATATGCAAACGTTTTTCAGTTGTTCCTTATCCAGCATATGAGGATGCATTACCTAAGTCAATTTTTCAAATAGACAATGAAAAAAATAGGAACAATACCAAGGAAAGTTTAATAAAAGAAAGTGGTCAGGACTTTCAGTTCTCTTCTTGGAAGCCCAAGGTGAAAAATATTGAGGCTACAACAGAGAAAACTTCGAAAATAACCAAAAAGTCAAGAACTGAAGAAATGGCAGACTCTCCCACTGAAATAGATATGGATGAGCAAAACTACTCAGACAATGAAACTGTTCAAAATATCATTGAAAACATTTATGGGAATGTTTTATTAAGGTCTTCTCTTCAAGAACCATCAGATTTTTCAAAACACAGATTCAGTAAAAGCTCCCCAGATAATAAAGCACTAAATGTAATTCAGGAGACTGGCAAGGAGTCTACCCAGCTCATTACAACCAAGAATTTATCTCCCTCAATTAACAAAAAGGACTGTGCTAAAGAAGAAGGAAATAAAGTGAAAGAGAAACAAAAAGAGAAAGAGAAAGTAAGAGAGAAGGAGGTTGACAATAAAGCTGCTGAAACAGATCATCCAGAAAATAAACCTGGAATTTTTCCTGCTAAATTTTTAGAAGATGTTATCAGTGAAATAGTTAACAAACTGCTATTTTCTTCCTCACCAGAAATGGAAACTTTTGAAAAATGTGTAAGTGTAAATGATGATCAGAATAAAACTGAACTCTATGACACCGCCTTGACACTTATTAATTCACTGATAAAGGAGTTTTCAGATGCTCATATTAATATACTTGGGCCTGAGGAGGGAACTCAGTTTTTCCCACATGCAAGTAAAGTGTCTTCAGCTCCTATAGTACCTTCCAGGAGTAAATCAACTGCAGATGAATCATCATCCACCATTAAACTGAAAAACGTGGATAAGATGCCAGACGTGCAGAAAGTGACGGAAAAACTCTCTTCACTTGAGACTCCTGTCCTAGATGAAATGCCATCAATTGATAAAATCCTGGTCAGGAAAGCCACTCACTCTTCTATTTGCAATATTTTGAAAGAATATAAATCTCTTGAATCTCTTTGTGAGGACATTAAGAGTAATGGGGGAAATTTAGCAAAAAGGTTAACTAGTGCAGTGATGAGTGAACTTTTTCCACCTCAGCTTAACTTGATGTTTTGTGATGAGGCTCCAGTTTCAGCCTGTTTGCCTCTGGAATCTAAAGGTCTTGTTAAAAAGATCGAAAAGGTGGCCCAAACAGCCAACAAAGAATGTCAAACAATATCCCCCTATACTGTAATGTTGCCTCACCAATTTTTAGAGGATGTGACTTCTACTCTTTTAACAAAAATTTTCTCAAAAATATCCAACACCATCACCAAAGCAGAAACATATGAAAACAGATTTTCCAAGGAACTCGATTTCCTTCAGACGGAATTAGTAAGTAAGATTGCAGCAGAGATTTCCAAAGATGAAGACATGATTATACAATATGTAGAATCCTTGCATCCTAATGATGATGAAATTATTGAATTGGTGGTTCAGTCCATTTATAATAATCTTTTGCCACAATTTGGATCACAAGAAATCATGCAAAATTGTATATCGAATGGATGCAGACTTCTTTCGGAAACCATAGTTGACTTAGTTCTAAGAGAAGTGGCTGGCAATCAGTTGCAGAATTACTTTTGTGGAGAGTTAACTCCACATCAGTGTGCGGAAGTTGACAGCGTTGTTGAAAGCATCCTTTTCAATGTTATCCAGACTATGCCACCTCAACCATCACATGCCCATAAAGTGTCTTATAATGTAATAGAAGAAATTGCTATAAAATTTTTGTCGAAGCTCTTATCTGTGTTTCCAAAAATACATAAGGAAAGAACCAAATCTACACAAACTGAAATGCAAAAAATAACCTCCAAAATACTAAATTCATTCCAAGAATTTATCTCCAAAAGTAAGATTAAGCTTACAAGACCTGCCAAGGAGTCACCTACTGTATCTTCAGCTGACAGTGCAACTATTGACAAAGTAGTTAATTCTGTTTATGCCAGTCTTTTAACACACTCTGGTTCCCATACTTCGGTGTTTAAAGATTTGATAGGTCAGAGCAATGTCCTTTCCGACATAATAGGTTTTTTAATGGTGAAGGAAATTTCAAATTCTGAATTTCAACCTCAAATGGAAGAAGAAATATCAAGTTCAGAATTAGTTCTTGAAGCTGTCCAAATTATGGAAAAGGTGGTCAAAATTGTTGATAAATTTAAGTCCCAGGAACACTCTTCATCCAAAAAGTGTTCTGTATTAGATGCCAATGTTTTAGAGGAAGCACTGGCCTTGTTCTTGGCTAAACTAGTAAGGTCACCTTGTATTTCAAGCAAAGATACACATAGCTTATCAAAACCCGATTTAAATAAAATTGCATCTCAACTGACAAAATCTGTAACAGCTGAAATTTCTAGAAGTAATATTAGTCTAGTAGCTACTGAACCTGAAGAATACTCTTCAAATCTAGAAGAAATGGATATGATCTCTCAGGTTGTTGATTCCGTCTATGGTAATGTGTTACAACAACCCAGAAGCCATGAAGAACTTTATAACGTAAAAGATACAAATGCAGTCTTCCCTAAGGTGGCCAATTTAATTGTTGATGGCATTTCAAAAGTTCCATTAGATAGGGTTACCTCAACAAGCTCATACACTGGCGTCTTTGGAGATCTGGACATTGATAGAATCATTGAAAAGACAGCAAAGCATGCTGAGAAAATGATAGATGGCAAAAATGAGTTGGCTGAAGATAAATCTGGAGAAGAATGCACAGTTGCAATAATTCCACATGTCGGAAGAAAAGCAATCAAAGTAGACCCACATATTATTTCCCAGCACTTAGCAGTCATCTCTGTAAAGACTCAGCCACTAGAGAAAATGAAGACAGAATGCTTAAAAAGAACTGGACGTAGCATAGAGGACCTGAGACGAGCATCAGTAGATGGGAAGAGTTACACCGCTATAAGCTCCCCTGATTTAGAGAACAGAAAAAAAGAACGACGTACCTCTTTGAAGACTACAGGTCGACTGGATGTAAAGCCCTTCGAGGTAAGTGCAAAGGCAATGGCAGAAAAAGAAGTGACATGGAGACCTATAACAAATAGTTATGTGGGAATGCACGTCTGTAGTTGTTGCCAAGGCCATCAAAGAACTGGCTGCAGTAACTCATCACTACAGTCACACGACTCACTAGGCTTGGCTTCAACAATTCTATGACTCACTCGGAAGGTCTTGGGCTATTTTTCCAAAGATAACCCACTTAATCTAGCTTTCTTTTAATGACTAGGGATGTAAGTACATAGCCTTAAAAATAATACCAGACTGAAGTTGTAATTGCTCTTTCAAGACTCAGAAGAAACATAATCTTGTATAATTCTTTTAGATCTTCCTTTGGCTATCTAAAGACATTCAAAATGGGCCAGTTGGTAGAACATCAGGGTGCATGAAACCATCTACCATTATTGTCATTCTCACATTTAAAGCTCCACAGTAGTGTTCCTTTTCTTTTAATAACATTCATCAACAAACATTAGACTGCAAACCCCTACATTATACTTGTTAAGATTTAAATCAATTACTTTGATATTTCTAATTTACTCTATCCTCTCAAGAGCTACTCAGTTTTCTTCCTCTCCTACCATTGTTCTAGACCCAGGTCCCCCATTGCTATTTTTGTGAAGCAGTTTCTTCTTGGTTCAGACACAGCAGTTCCCTATAGTCCCATACCAGGCCATGAATAAATTAAATTACCTGAGACTTCAAAATGTCAAAAGTTACTTTCTTTTTGTAACAAAACCTTTTAGTGAAGAAAACAAAGTTGTGTGGGAAATGTGTCAACTTATAGTAATTCCTGACTCATTTCGATATTTATGAAAGTGTCTTGTGTTTATGGTGGGCCTTTGCCAAAAGGTCCTTGTGTGCTGAGGGGCACAGTCTGTGCCCTGGAGATGTCGAACAAGGTTTTCTACAAACATGTTTCTTGGAGCACATACTCAGAATGAATTTTTTCCAACACTGTTCAGCATCCCATTGAACTAAGTTTCAAGACTCATAAATAAGTGAATTTCTTCTTTATATTTTAAAACTTAAATATTGAGATTGACATAGACTGAGCCTCCTTTAGGAATCCTTAGTTCATTGGAACATATGATGGTCCCTTCCGATTTCAAAGTCACCATTCATCTAGGTTGTCATTACATTAGCATAAATTTAGTGATACTCATTTATATATAAATAATCACCTGGGAATAAAATTTTTGTGAAAAGATTATAGAATATAATTACCCCAAATCAGTTTTCAATTATAAAATTGTTTATAACAAATCCTACTGTTAGATACCAACCCTCTTTTAAAGATATTTATAAACTACAGAAAGCAGAACTTAAACAAGAACAATTAATTGTGTCTTTTTAAGAGAAAGCAAAACAAACCTAGAAATGGGGGTGGGCAGCAGCCATAGATAAGTCAGTTAAGCACATGAAACCTGTGCAGCAATCTGAGAATGATTACAGTCTGTCCTCAACAAATGGACAGAGAAGTAAAAGACAAAAAGAAATTAGATCAAACGCTAGTCTAGATCAAATGCTAGTCTAGACATTTTTGTGTTGCCTCAGAATTTACTTCTCTGCTTTGAAATACCATAAATTGTCAACTTTCTTGCCATCCGCATAGTAAAAACTCTGGCAATAACAAATACCACAGCTATGTAGAATGATTTGGGAATTTCTAGTCCACTCTTCTCCACTAGAATGGATGATCAAAGTTGATTGTTTGAATTTTTTAAAAGAATTATTTCTTTTTTTTTCCTCACTGAGTTTATTGGTACATTTTGGGTATGTAGTATGGTTACATTCATTTTTGGGATCTTGTACCTTTACATGACAGGTCTTGGTTCTCATTTTTTTCCCCTTGTCCCTGCCCTCCCTTCACTCCTCCTCCCCTCCCCATTTACAAACACTTTATTTCCATTTTTTTTATTTTCTCATATTTTTTTCTTTTCCCTTATTACCTTTCCCCTACCCTTCCCACTTTCCCTACACCTTTAACCCTTTTCTTCCTATTTCACATTGTCAATTGTCTCATTAGGATCTTAGGTACTATTATAAATTTTCACACCAAATAAACTATTTGGTATTTACACATGTGTGATTTATTTATTTCACTTAGGAGTATATCCTCAATATGTATCCATTTTCCTATGAAAGAATCTAATTTCTCATTCTTTATGGCTGAGTAGTATTCCATTTTATAGAAAAACCACATCTTCTTTATTCAGTTTTCAACTAATGGGCAAATGGTCTGTTTCCAAGTTTTAGCTATTACAAACTATGTCACTCTAAACATAGGTGTGCATATATCACTGTGATATGATTCTTTTAATTCTAAAATAATTATTTCTAATAATTTGTTTCCACACTAAAGGTTCAGGGAAAGTGGGAAGGGTAAGAGAAAGGTAATAAGGGAAAGAAAAAAATAGGAAAAATGAAAAAAATGGAAATAAAATGTTTGCAAATGTGGGGGGGGAGAAGGGGATGAAGGGAGGGCAGGGACAAGGGGAAAAAATGAGAACCAAGACCTGTCATGTAAAGGTACAAGATCCTGTTGATGAATGTAACTGCACTGTATACCTAGAATGTACCAATAAACTCAATGAGAAAAAAATTTTTTGTGTTTCCACAGACGGTATTCCTTAAAGACATCATTATCCAAAAAGGAAGGAAGATCTGTAAATTTAGAGTTGAGATTCTAAAAGTATTGAGTAAATTTACATTTGGTAAAAGGCTATAGTAATGGGGCAGTTCTGTTATTTAATTACAGCCGTCTTTGATCTGTTTTTAATTTTGAAAATGGAAGTGGAAATTTGAGAAGGGCAGTGAGAAGGCACAAAGATTTATGCTTTAAAGAATGTGTTGGACAGTGTTTCTAAAGGATAAAGAGTGGAAAGTTCTGAAGTAAAAATCCAGATTTCACACATTTGGCGACTCATTAGTTTTATAAGTGAAGATCAGGAAATATCTTGACCATTTTCTTTAAAATATATGTATTTAAATTTCTCCATGATCAAATACTTAATATTAAAAATGTGCATTATCTACTTCTATGGCAAAATTTTGAAGAGAAATGACAAAAATGGTAACTATTTTGTAAAAAAAAAAAATGTAAAGTTTAAGCAAAATAGAACCTATGCTAAAGTCAGTTTTTGCAATATGATCTGAATGTGAAAGAAATCATATCAGAAAATTAAGGTTTTTGTGTCTTTTAAAAATATATATTACTTATATACCGGTCAGTGGCCTTTGAAGGCATTACTTAAATTGCAGCAAACCATAAGAAAATAGCTATTTCACAATAGTACTAAAAGGGATTGACATATTCCTTTTTAATAGTTGTTGTACCTTCAATTTTAGGCTGTTTGCAGAAATTCATTTCAAAATATAAGAAAGCCTGATATCTCTAAGGTAGAGCTTTTAAAAGATGTTCGAAGCAGAAAAGACCTAATCATTCGGTTAGTGGCTCATGATATTGATCAGGAAGATACAGACTATTTTACAGAAGATGATATAACTCCTGATGAAAATGAAATTGTTTTAGAAGAGTATTTTGGACAAAAATGCATAGGAGAACTATCTGAAGATGAAGTGAAAGAAGTTGTGAAGCTCATACAAAGCAAAATTGTTTCTTCCAAGGCGACGACTGTCTCAGGCAGTGTGAAAAAGTCTCTAACCAAATCTTCCCAGCCCACATCTACCTCATGTACTGAATGTACAGAAACAGCCTCCAGTCAACTCACAGGCTCTAACAAGACACAGGGTGACAGAGCCGCTGCTGGGCCTGGCAAAACCGTGACTAAAACACGCTCTCCCACAAAGGAAAAATTATTCCACAAGGTAAGTGAAAAACATGACTGCCCATGACAGCAAAGAGGAGAAAAGATAAAAAATTCTGCCCAAGGTGTACATTGATTAGGCAGAAAAGAATATCAAAGTATATTATTGGTCCTCTTGAGCCTGTAATTTACAAAATAGGCAAAATAAGTAATAAATAAAATAAGCAAATAAATATTCACAAATAGGTAATATACCAGTGAACCTCAACTAAGGGAAAGCAGATGATGCAAAGAAACCCAGATTAATTAGAAATTGAGGGGGAAATTGAGGGGGAAATGGAAACCACTTAGGAGAAATACCTGGTAATTACTTAAAGTTATAGATTCTAGCCCTTTTGTATTTGGACATTTCTTGGAGTCTCATGCTAAAGGATGGGATAGGAGAGCTGCTTGAGACAGGAAGGAGTTTAAAATATTCATAGAAATTGCCTTACAACCACATTAGTACAAAAGAAAAAAAAAGGAGGAAGGAAAAAATTTGGATGTGTTTAAATCCTTTCTCTTAATGGACTGCAATCTTTGGACATATTGCATAGCTAAGTTTGTTCTTAAATAATGGTCTCCAATCTTGCCCAAATTTAGCAAGTCACTGAAAACATTTTTAATATCATTCTTACAATCAGCCATTAACTTCCTCTCTGACCCTACTGAGCAGTTCTTGTATTGGTTCCAAAACCTTCAAGGACAATGACCTTCAATGACCTTTTGGGTTTATCCTTGTTTAAAAATATGTTCTGTTCCTATGTTTGGAGAATATATGGTTTAGGATTCCCTGATGAGACAATTTTGAATTGATCATTCGTTTGATATGATTCCCAGGTTAAAACAAGAGCTGAGATGAGCCCGAGAAAACAAATAGAAATTCCTTTAGTCAATTCAGACACAGACATTTTCCCAATAAGTAGACCAGAATATATGTAGTGATATCTAGAGTACAGTCTAGTTATAACTCTTTTCTTCTGCTTTTCAAACTCAGTAAAACATGATGAAGATATACTTAAAGTTTAAAAATAGAAAATCATATTCTTCAAACTTCACTAGGTTTATGTTTAAAATCTACTCAAAATTCTGTCTCATGATTTAGAATATCTTCACTGATCATTTCAAAAGAACTATGTAAGGAAAAACATTTCAATTGGAACTCCAGGGTCCATCCATCTTTTAAGTAGTTTCTGAACCTTTTGCTCATTAAAGTGTGAATCAGACTGCAAAAAGTCCAATAAGATGAAAAACTACATATGAAATTCTACTTTTGTGTAATACTTGTTTTGCAAATTTGCAGAATGGAGGAAGAAGTCTTGTTACTGAACCAACACATCACTTCATACACAGAATTATGAGTACATCTTCATACAACCAAGAAGATCTCATGTCATCTTCCAGGTAAATGAAATTAAAACAAACACAGAAATCTGAGTGTAGCACTTACAGGAAACATGAGGTGCTTTGTAAAGGCACAAATATTCAGTCTCAGCTCATCGCTTCCTTGCCGTTCTTCCCTCCCTTGACTCCTCTTTTCTCCCCTTATCACACCCTCTCAAGTCTTCCCTCTCTCTTGCTTTCTCATGAAATAAATACTTATCAGCAAAACATATTTTTATTATTTTTTATTTTTCACTCTTGCTAAGAATATGTATGTGAGGTATATGTATATGTATAATTGTAAATATTACTTTTGTGTATTCAATACCATATATTGACATTGCAGGTTTACTTACCCAAGAGTTATATATTAAGTGTTCAACTAAGTTTTCTACAAGTATATTACACATTTTCAACCTCTTTTATCTCTAATCAGATTTGCTCCTTTTTTCTTATTTTTCCCGACCCTGCAAATAAACTCTCAAACCTGTTTGTTTTCCATTCTGGAAATAAAAAGCCGATTTTTTATTTCTTTTTCCATGATCTCCTTTTTTCTCTTTCCTTTTCTTTATGAACATTTTTCTTCCTTTACTTCTTCTTTTTTCCTTTTTCTCATTCTCCCTATCCCAGCCCACTTGTCATCAGTACTAATCCATTATCTTCCTTTGTTATTGAAAAAAATGTGCACTTGTCAAACAAGTTTTAAATTATATGTTGATACATAGTTACTTCTGTAGATGCTGATATAACCAGTAGATGTTCCGTTTTTGCATACTGAACCTAGAACTGATCCTAACACATTGTATAGATTGAATAGGTGTAACAAAACCTAAGCATGCCCAAAGCTAACAGTACATAACAAGGAGATACCCATTAACTAAAGGAAATTCCACAGTATTGACAGCTTTCTACCACAACTGATCTTCAACTCTCAATACACAACAGTAAAAATATGAGCAAATAAGGCAAAAAGATACTTTCAAAAATTCTTAACTCCCCATAAGCTGCCCTCATTAGCACCAAAGGGGAAGAATTTACAGACAAAAAAAATTTTTTTCAGCTTTAATTGAGTTTATTGGTACATTTTAAGGATACAGTACAGTTACATTCATTGTTGGGATCTTGTACCTCTACATGACAGGTCTTGGTTCTCATTTTTTCCCCTTGTCCCTGCCAGACAAAATTTTTAAAGGCACATTTTAGAATAGTTAAAGAAACCCAGAGATGAGGCAATTGATAGCTGCACAAAGCAATTAATAGGCTGTTCAATTTGTTCAAAGAAGACATAAATGTTCTATTTAAAAGGTTGATAAATGAGCTTAAAGAAGATTCAAATAAAGATATGAATGAACACTTTAGTGAAGACTTAGGAATTATAAGAAAGAATCAAGCAAAAATATTGGAAATGAAATGTATAATTGAAGACCATGGAAATAGATATGAACAATCAAAAGAGACAACATCAAGACTTGAGGACAAGAAGGCGTAAACTCAGTGATGCTCTAAACCAGGAGAAAGCATGAGAAATTTACAAGCTCCAAAATGACTCTAAAAGAACAAATGTAAGAATTATAGATATCCTGAAAAAGGAAACCTGGTTTCAACTGAATGGCCCCCCAAAGCCTCACATATTTAGAATGTGATTGGATTATGGTGTTATATCTGACTTACTGTTATAAGGGGTCTGCACACTGCTCGAGGAAGGCTGACTAGGAAATTGGTTTCTGATGATTTGGTTCATAGTGCTCAATTACGCAGGCTCTTGAAGGCTTCTGCAGCCATGATTTAAGGGTACCTGACTACTGTGCAAGCTGGCAGGAGACCTTGCTGTCATCCATATGGTGGTATTTATACAGGCATGAGCAATGCAATGCTTTGGGGGTCGAGAAAACTTCGAGTCTAATTTCAGAAGAAGGCTCATGAGGCCAGGCACTCTGTTGCTGAAAGGACAATGCTATAAGAAAAGGCCAAAAGTGCATCCTCCTCCCCCAGAAAGTTGGAGAAAGGAATGTAAAACATCTCAGGAGAGCCACAACAACTGAGCAGATCCCAGCCCAAGAGAGAAATCATGAAATCTACAACCACCAGCAATGATACAGGGGTGCCCACCTAAACCCATCAGCATTCACAGCTCACCACAGCTCACCCCAGAAACTGGACAGGGAGATAAAGTATTTAATATGTCATATTGTGTTTTGGTCCTGCTGCTTTCATACTCTTTTTATCTCTCTTTTGGGATAGGAATGCTTATGCTGTTGTAAGTTAGAATGTTTAGCTTTCCCTTTAATTTACTTAGGGGCCCACAGCCAAGAGTTTTCTAGCAGTCTCAGAGGAGGCTTCAGACTCAAGAGTTTTCAGCAATGCTGAACTGTTCAAATTTGGCAACCCTTAGAGGTGAACTGAATGTATTTTTCAGAAAGAGATTGGCATGAGTCTTTTAGGAGGCAAGAGAGAAAAGCTATATCTTAGATTTAAAATGGACCCCTCAAAGCCTCAAGTGCAGGGAAAGTGATTTGATAACGGGAGCATTGCAGCTGAATGCGTTCCTAGGAAGTGTGGTCTGGTGGGAAGAGGCAGTCACTGTGGGCATGTCCTGGAAAGACGAAGCTCCCTTCCCAGCTCCTCCTTTCATCCTCTCTGCTTCCTGGCTGCAGCAGGGTAAGCAGCTTCTCTCCACCAGTCCTTTCAGCCACTTGCATGAAATGCAAGGACTACAACTTCTAAAGTGTGAACTGAAGTGAACCTCTACTTGCTTAGAGTTGTAGGTGTTCAGTATTCTGACTTAGTGACAAAGTAATTAAGACAGGAATTAAAGTTATAAAAAATGTATTACTCAAAATCATTGAGGAAAATTTTCCAAATCTAGGGAATATAATGCTTACCAAGATAAGTGAAGCAAATATAACTTCAAACAGACATGCTCAGAAAAATCCCTTTCCATGATATGTTATGCTTAAAGGCCAGTAGCATGGAGTGAAGTTTTTTAAATCCTGAATGGAAACAATTGCTAATCCAGATTACTCTGTCTTACAAAATTATCCTTACAAATGTAAGGAAAAATTGAAATCTCTCATGACAAAAGGAATCTAAAGAAATTCAAGACCACGCAAAAGAATTCTAAATATGCAAGACAATTCTAAAGAGAGACTGTGAGGCCAATACAAACAAAGAGCCAAAAAGAAAGAGTACACCTAACTGCATAATTAAACCGGAGAAAGATATAAAGGAATCAGAACTGAAGAAGTAATACAGTGAAAGTAATTGGTAAATACTTTTCAGTATTATCGCTTAATATGAACAAAACTAAACAAATTATTTAAAAGATCATACATTTTGACCAGTTCACCTTCATTCTAGGCATATAAGCATGGTACAACATACATAAATCAGTAAATGTAATACACAATAAAGTAGAATTAGGGATAATAATTGTGTGATCATGTGAATATATGTAGAAAAATCTTTGAGAAAATCCTGCATACATTCAGGATAAAAAAATACCTTGACAAAAATAGGTATTGATAAACCTTATATCAAACTAATAAAATGTACTTATGCAAACCCATAGCCAACAACATACTACATAGGGAAAACTGAAAGCATTTCTTTTAAAAGCAGAAACAAATCAAGGATCTTCATTTTCATTACAGTTGTTCAACAGAGTGCCCAAAACTATAGCCAGAGCAGTTGGAGAAAGAAATAAAAATGATATGAACAAAAAAGGAAGACATCAACTCTATTTATGTGCAAGTAATAAAATCTTTTACCCTGAAGATTCTAAATACTTCAGAAAAAGATTATTAGTGCTAATAAACAAATTCAGCAAAGTAAAAGGATACAAAATCAACATGTACAAAAAATAAATTCAATTACTGTAAACCAGTAAAGAATCCACCAAGAAAGAAATCAGGAACACTACCCCATTCACGGTATCTTCAAAACAACTTAATTATTTGAGAATCAACCTAATAAGATGAAGTAACTCTATAATAAAGTCTCTAATACTCTGAAGAAAGATAATTGAAAAAAATTAGAAAATGGAACTATCTCCACAAGATATGTAGAATCAATATTGTCACATGTCCATTTACCAAAGATTACATATAGAGTTAATGCAATCCCAATCTAAATGCCAACATTATTCTTTGTGAATGTAGAAAAATAATTCTCAAATTCATATGGAGCAAGAAGAAACTCAGAATAGCTAAAGTGACTATGAGCATAAAGAGTGAAGCAAGAGGCATGACAGTTCAAGACTTCAAGTGAGACTACAAACCCCATGGTAGCTTTGTCACAAAAATAGACATGTAGACCAAAGAAGTAGAGTAAAGACACATTAGCAGACCCAGGCACCATTACACTTCTGATCTTTGACAAAGGGACTCAAAGTGAATGCTGCAGAAAAGATAGCCTCTTTATCCAATGGTGCTAGGAAAACTGGTTACTCACTTGGTGAAGAGTGACTCTGCACCCAGACATATTGCCCTGTACTCAAATCAAACCAAGATGGATACCCAACACCCACAATTTAAATGAGGAAAGGTTTGGCTCACAGCTTGTGTAGGTTTCAATCCATTGTGCCCGGGCTCCAAGGCAGGGTGGCACTGGAGACAGGCATGGCAGAAGAGGGCTGCTAATGCCATGGAGGCAGGAAGAGAGAGAGATATGGGAGGGGGAGGAGAAAAAGGTGAGGAGAGGACAGGAGAGGAAAGACAGCAAGAAGGGAGGAGATGCGCCTTTCAGGGACACGCGCTCAGTGACCCACCTCCTCTGATTTCACCTCCCAAGAATACATTCAGGTACATACCTATCAGTGAATTAGTCATAATCACGCTCTCCTATGAGCCAATCGCTTCCCAAAACCTACCTCTGAGCACATGAGGCTTTGGCAGGACATTAAGATATAAACCACAACTGATCCAGATTTAAAAAAAAAAAAACAAAAAAAAACAAAACAAAACAGAAACACAGAATCTGCTGAGATAAAATAGGGGAAACAATTGAAGACATAGGCATAAGCAAGCACTTACAGAACAGAACCTTAATTGCACAAGAAATAATACCAAGAATCAGCAAATGGCATGTATTATATTATTTAAAAAGCTTCTGCAAAGCAAGAAAGCAATCAACAAAGTAAGGAGTCAACCTTTAGACTATAGGAAGATTTTTGCCAGCTAATCTTCTGACAGAGGATTAATATGCCAACTATATAAAGAAAAGAAAGAAAATTAGGCCCCAAAATAACAAATTATTCAAGGGGAAAATTAGATAAATAGACACTTCAAATAAAGATGTACAAGTGGCTCATAAGAATGTAAAAAAACATTCACAATCTTTAGCCAGTAGGGAAATGTAAATCAAATCCATGCTGAGATTCCTTCTTATTGCAGTCATAATGGCTACTATACAGGACACAAAAAAGCTACAATTGCTGGCAAGGAGGTCAGGACAGGAATCCCTCTCCATGGATGGTGAGAATTGAAACTAGTATAATCACTATGGAGATTCCTCAAAAAAGCTACAAGTAGAAATTTCACGTGACTCAGCTATACTTTTTTTTCCCCTTCAGTACCAGGATTCTAACTCAGGACCTTGTGCTTGCCAGAGGCACAGTGCCCCTGAGCTACATCCCCAGCCCAGACCCAGCTATACTTCTGCTGGGTATCTGCCCCCAAAAGTTAAAGACGTACTGCAATGATGCCCATGTTTATAGCAGCTCTCCTCACATTAGCTAATTTATGGAAATAGCCCAGTTGCCCATCAACAGATGAATGGATAAGTGTGGTATATGTGCACAATGAAATATTATTCAAACAAAAGAATGCCGAATTAGTGTCATTTGCAGGTTAATAGAAATCCTCATTTTGAATAAAATTTACCAGACACAGAAATGAAATATTGCAGGTATTCTCTTATATGAGAGAGGTAAAAGTAAATTAATAAAGAACTGAAGAGATAGAATATCAGGAAACAGTCTTTTAGAAATGTAGAGGGGGGCATCATCATGAGGGGTGAAGAAAGAAGCAGGGGTGATGGGATTGAAAACCATCAGGATTATTAAACTTTTCAGAAAAATGAAGATGTAACTTCTAATTTCATAATGCCAGCAATACCTTGAATCTGCAGCCGCAGAAGGAACGGTCAAGGAAATAAAATTACAAACCAATATGCCACATTTGTATTTATGAAAAAAGAATGCCCTTAATAAAATATTAACAAACCAAAACTAGCAGCAAGTTGGATTTCTACACGAACATCAAGTGAGATTTACCCTGGGAATGCAAGGGAGTTCTAATATTCAAAAACAAGTCTAGGTGACATAATGAAGCACAAAACACATTCACACATGTGCCCTTTTATCTCAATTGATGCAGAAAAAAAAACTTTTATCAGAAATTAAAAAAAAATTAAGCACGTGTTCACGAGAACAACACTCAGCAAACCTAGAGCAGAAGGAAAAGCTCCAGTGAGATCACCGCATGTGAAAAACTTAGAGTTGACATTGTCCTCCGTGTGCAAGAATGAAGGCTTTCCCTCCAAGATCAGGAGAAAGAAAAAGGACTTTTTGCACTTTTATTCAACATGGTTGTGGAAGTCCAAGAGAAATTAGTCAGGAAAAGAAAAGGCATTCAAACAAAGAGGATGGGACCAAGATATACACAGATGATATGATCTGCAGATTATATAACTTTATATGACAAGACTTAACGTAGCCTCCAAATCTTATGAGAACTAATAAAAAATTTATCCAAATAGCAGGATGCTAACTCAACACACAGAAATTAGTTGTTTTTTCTATATATATGTACAATGAACTCTATAAAAAGAAAAGGAAAAATTTTCCTTTATGCTAGCTTCTAACAATAAATTAGGAATACACTTCATTGAAAAAGTGATTTGTACACCAGAAAGTACTCAACATTCCGTGAGAAATTAACAGGACACAAATAAATGGATTGGAAAACTTAATATTGTTATGATGCCAATTCTATCCTGAGTGATCTACAGAATCAAAGAAATTCTTACACCAAAAAAAAAAAAAAGCTTTCATTTCAGAAACTGAACAATTCATCCTAAAGTTTATTGAAAGTTCAGTAGACCCCTGACCACCAAAGTGACCTTGAAAATTAACACTGGAGGTCTCTCCCTTCTTGATTTTAGAACTTAAAAAGCCACAGTTAACAAAAAATACAGTATTGATAAAACGACAAGATTTATAGTGCAACAAATTGGAATAAAGACCTCAGAGGTAAACATTTCAGTATCTGCTTGGGCTTTCCAACAAATGCTGCTGGGCAAAAAATAGATATTCAAATGCAAAAGACAAACAACAACAAAGATGCAGTGGGACCATTGCTTTATCCCTTGTAAAATTATTCCTAAATGAGTCAAATATTTAAAAATCAGAACTAACAACTTTTACAAAAAAGATGTAGGAGAAAAGCTCGATGACACTGGATTTGGCAGTACTTTTTTATATGACATAAAAAGCACATGGAAGAAAAGAAAAATTGGCAATTTTATTTCATCTTAATTAAAATTTCATCAAAATTAAAATGGTGTGTGCTTTAAAGGACCCTGTCAACAGAGTGAAAAATCAGAGTGAATGTGAGAAAATATTTGCAAATTATATATCTGGCAAGTGATTAATGAACAAATCTGAAGATCTCCTATGATTCGACAATAAGAGCAAAGATAACCTGAGTGAAAAAACTGTACAAATTAAATAGAAAATTCTCCAAAGAAGCTATACAAATGGCTAAGAAGCACAGAAAAAGATGGAAAATGCATGTCAAAACAACAAGGAGATACTCTTGTAAACTCATTATGATAGCTACTGGGGAAAAAAAGGCAGGGAAGGAGGAAAAGGAAGAGTAAGGAAAGAATGAAAGAAGAAAGAAAATAAAAAGCGTTAGTTAAGGATATAGAGAAACTGGAACCTTCATGCCCTGAAGATATGAATATAAAATGGTACGGCAACTACAGAAAACACTATTAGCGTCTCAAAAAGCTAGACATAGAATTAGCATGTGGTCCAATATTATAATTTTACTTCTGACTATAAATCCAAAATAACTGAACTTCTAACTGAAACGGGTATTTATATACCTACCTATGCTCATGTAGCATCATTTGCAATAAACAATGGAAGCAATCCAAGTGTCTGTCAAAGGAAGAATGGATAAAAAAATGTCAAATGTACTTGAGACGTTGTAATCCATTCTTATTAGGAAAGTAAATCCAAATACACCCTACATCATGCAAGACTTTCCATGATGTTATGCTAACTGCAATAAGTCAGTTATAAAAGGTCTAAAACTTCAGGATTCTATTTTTCTGATGTGCCCAGTAGTGAAATTCATAGAGATGGAAAGTAGAATAGTGATTCCCAGGAGCTGAGGAGAGAGGGAAAGGAGGTGTTTGGGTTTAGCAATTACAGTTTCAAATGGAGAAGAGGAAAACGTTCCTGAGACACCTTGCATATGTTGATATCACACAACAGTGCAAATACACTTAATGCTTCAGAATTAGACCCTTAAAATAGTTCAGCTGGTAAATTTTATGTGTATTTAATCATAATTTTTAAAGTGAGGAAAGCAATTTGGAAATCGTTTTCATGTAGTTTGAAATTTCAGCCATACACTGCCACAGATGTGCTTCCGCATGAAAATGCCGATTGCTCTTTCCTTTTGCTATTTCTTTCCTTATTTCTTCATCTATTAAGTAGAGGAACAAAAAGTGATGTCTCTTTTTCTTTTGTTTCAGTGAAGGAGAAGATTCTGATGCTATTCCAAGCACTGTGATATTGAAAGGTCGGATATTTTTCTCAACTTTTAGAAAGTATTCAAAGGAAACTTTACCTGTTGCTTTGATAACTTAGTTTAACCCTTTGATAAATTATTAGTTATCAAATTTGAAACTAACTCTTTGTTCTCCTTTGCGTATGTGTGCTGCTGGAAAGTGGTATTACGTCACTCAGGTGTTAAAATGGGAAAAATATTCTGCCTTGTCTGAGCTGCTGTTAATACTGCATTAATGAAGTTAGCATCAAATATTTTGTGATATATTATAAATTTATTATTATCATGCTTCAGTCCTGCTAATTTGTATCTAGGCCAGAACCCACTGTCTTGGATTTTAATTATTTCTTCTGAAAGGTATTTTTCTGTGCTCCATATCTTATCTCTTCAAGAGCATACACAAGGCTTGAATTTATTTATTTATTTATTTATTTATTTACTTAGTACCGGGATTGAACTCAGGCCCTTGCACTTTACGAGGCAGGCAGTAGCACCACTGAGTAAAATTCCCAGCCCAACACAAGGCTTTTAAAAAACTAAATTAAGCTAGGATGGACCTTCTTTTCTTTCTCTTTAAAGTACTTATTTTTATGGACTTCATAGACCATCTGTTAGGAAATTTTAGTCCTTTATTTGAACCTGAGAGGATAGATGTGATCCTAACAGTGACAATACGGACAAAATGTAGAGTGTCGTATGTCCTTGAAACTCGAACCACATTTAATCATCATGGTTTTTCAAAAGAAACATTCTCCTGACTTGGCAATGAAAATCATTTTTATCCAGGAAATCCATAGAATATAAATAATTCAGAGAAGAGCATAAGTATGTATGAATTCCCACAATATACCATAAGCTATAGGCATCAACAGACTGATCAGATTTTTAAACTATGAAATAATGAAGTGTTGGACCCAGGCAGAAACTATATACAGTAACAGAATGGTCTTTGTGTCATATATGAGAAAACTACAGTTGAGGGTGAGGAAACGATGAATCCAGTGTCAATCTAAGTTAAAGCCAGAGTTCTGTCTGGATCTTCTATTTTGTCCTTCAATTCACTATACAATTTGCTTTGTCCAACTTCATTGTTGTGATCATGCTGAGTTCTTATATCCTTTGGTAATAGGAGAGCTGTCCAAATCAATAGTTTCTTCATTCATTAAAAAATGTATTGTGAGTCTCTTTTCTGTTACAAGAGTCCATGTGCAACAAGACTAACAAAGTCCTTGCTGTCATGGAATTTGCAGGTATAAGTTAGCTTCACGCATTGCTAAGTACTCTCTCCACTTATGACAAGATTCCAAATCACTGCAGTGCTTACAAGACCCCTTCCTACCTCTGTAACTTCCTCCTCCATTTCTCCTCTCCCACCTTGCTGACTTCCTTACTGTTTCTCATACCTTCCAGGCATCTGAGGCTTTTATCTTTCCTAATGCACCTGAAGATTTTCCCCCTATAACTTCATTGTTCATTGCTCACTTTCAGATCTTAATTCAAATGTAACTTGATCATAGAGGCCTTCTCTGATCACACCCTCTGAAATTATAGTTCTCTCCCATCACGGCTCTACCTATCCCTCTTCTCTGCGTTCTTTTTCTCCCTGAAAATTTTAGCTATTGACTTTTGACTGTGTCTCTCTAGAAGGTAATTTACATGAAGTGGGGATTTATATCTTTCAAATCTGTATTTCCAACAGCCAAAAATCAACCCATTGGCACGTAGTACATGAAGGTGTGTGGGGAGAGAAGGGTAGACCAGGTCGGGACTAAGGAGGCAGAGCTGCCCATGTGAACACCATCTGGGTTGCCGATATTGAGGTGCCCTTTAGACATCACACAAACAAGAGGATGTTTGAGTCTGGAGTTCAATGCAGAAGTCAGGCTGGGCATGCATACTCCCAGTTTTGTAAAATATGCAATAAAATCTCAAGTAACATAAGTCTGAATATTTGGACCTCCCCAATTTTAATCAGTAAGCTTTTCTTCTAGTTTGTCCTGGAGGTATGATACCCTGTGTAGCCTAGAAACTTAGATCCCAGCATTGGTCAATCATTTAAATGCAAAAGTCAGTACCATTGCATGCAGTATGGAGTTGACACGGAGAATATAATTACCCAAGCATAAAATTTTACTAATTTTGTCAGATAATTCAATCTCCCTCATATTTCAGAAAAATTGAGGTTTTACTTTATTTTTTCCCCTCGAATCTGCATCATCTCAAAGTGTCAGAGCGATTGCGTGTGTAAACTGCTGATAAATACATGTGTGTTAAATCTGTAGATTTACACCCTTGTGAAATAGCCAACGAAGATAGTTTTATTTCCATTCTAGAGGTGAGGAAATCGAGAGTGAAAGAAGTAAGATTTAATTGGCAAATGCTCGCATAGCTCTAAGCAGCGAAGCTGAGACTCACGCATAGCCGTTTTTGATCCCCTGGCATATTATCTGTCTCCTTCGCTTTGTGTCTCTGTGAGAATTAATCTAACTCTGTCATTTCTAATTCCTTGACCAATTTTCTGGCACTGGTACATAGACTCCTTCCCTTGGAACCTCAGACAAATTTACTTCTGTAGCAATTTCATCAGATTTCTTCTAACATTATTTTCAGTCTGTCCCGATTCTCACCAGGAGTTAACTATTTCACCATGCATGGACTTTCTTCTTGATTCCCAGTATCTACTTTTAACTAGGTATGCACAAAAGGCAGTTAGAGCTGGAAAGGCCCTCCGCAGTCGTCTTCAGGGTAATCCTTCGCTAGAGGACTAAAGGTTCATATAAATTGAACAAATGCTTCTGCATAAATATGTAGCTACTAAGTTACAAAATCTGCCTCTCCCTGCACATCACTTCTTTTACCTTCTTGCCAGATCAATGTCTAGGATATGCCCTGACACTTTAGGGCCTGCCCTATTTTAGCATTGCTCCCATTGTCTATATCTTAATAATAATAATAATACCTTCTTCTATATGCTAAATTATATGAGTTTGGGTTGGAAATGAAAAATGATTTGTGTCAACACATACACGTACCTGAGAAAAAAACTCTAGTTTACTTTTCCATTCTTTCTCGTAGAAAGTTGTCCGGAGCAAAAACCAGCTAATTCAACAGGTCTTCAGGTAAATATTTTTAATAGCTTCCACTTATATTTTGAGGTTCAACTGAGAATAGCCCAGTTTTCACAATCTGATCAGAGACTGGGTTATACAATTCGAGGAACATCAGGAAGTGTTCCTCACAGTTCCTTCAAAGCTACATCTGAGAACTACCCCCAGTTTCCAAAAACACTTCAATGAAAATTTTCACCCCTGAGGTTAAATTAGCATTCTTTGTTTAGGTACAGAAAGTACTGGAACCCAAGTACAATTCTATTGCTTAGCTCTGTTACTGCAGTCTCCAGAAGAGCCTGGAGAGGGACCCACTTGGCTTTGCTGTGAGCAAGTGGACCACAGTGAGGATATGGTGATGAACCGGAGCTTCAAACATGATTGCGCAGGAGTGGAGGTGCCTTGCAGGAAATGAGACTTCAATTCATCCATCTCTCTGTATTCCTAAAGACCAACTCTTTACAGTCAGAGTTTCCAAAAGCCCGCTTAATTCCTAGCATGAGGTCACAAAATTTCATTTTTGATCCTCCTTATGAAGTTCGCAAAAGGTAATCAAATTATAAATTGCCTTTTCTGGGTTTTTTAAAATCATATTGTCCTCTTCTTGGACCACTTCAAGTGCCTTTCAACATTTTCCCACCTCTGTGTACACACATTCAGTACTTATTCACTTCTCAGTATCATGGAGTTCTTAAAATTTTATAACTCACACTTACACATATTTTTGCCAAATTTTTGAAGATACTATGTCAGTTCTAAACTTGACCTAATCCTTATTCATGAATATAAACATCTGCTCAACAACTTCTGACTTCATGTAAGCCACACTCCAAAAAAGAAAACCATATGTCCATGAAGGGCAAGGACTGAGGCTCTAGGAATCTGTCGACATTCTTGGTGTCAATTCAATTCCTCGCAAAACTGCATTCTTGCCACTCTGTTCTTTCTCTCATTTGCTACCTTTTCCTTGGTAAAACTGAGGTTAAAATTGTTTTCCACTAGAGTTCCAAGTAAGGTGGAACAAGCACAATTCTCTCTATCTCTCTCACTGACTACAACTTAAAACACTGAAGACCTCAACATGAAAGATAGTAGGAGTTGGGGAGCAAAAGCAAAACTCAAACAACAACCAATATCATGAGAAATTTCTTAGGTATTTTTTTCTCCCTGCATTTCCTGGTTTAGCCTTGAATTTCATGGAAGGAATGGAAAGAATAAAATCCTAAAGAAAGGCATTGCTCTCTCATCTGAGTTAGAAGGAGTTTCCTTTGGAATGGTCAGTCCCTGATTTATTTCCTCCACCTTGGCCCCACATCTAGGCAAATTTTAGTCATGGAGCTGCATGGCAGTGGAAGAAAAGACTACTGAGATGCAAGCTAAAATTCTGGAAGAAAATTCTTTTCTCTGAATTAGGCAAAGGGCTCCCAAAAGACTAAATTATATGGGATGAGTCTATCATTTTTTCTCTTTCCCTTGTCACTTTGCTATCATGGAGGATGTAGTCTTGGGAAGTTTGGAACAGCACACACAAGGAGGGAACAGCCACAGCACTCTAACCATGGCACTAGAAAAGAGGCTTTCGAGAGACACAGACTGAGGGAAATGGTAGGCAGACAGGCAAGGCCTCAAGAAATAGGTTCTCAAAATATGCTCAAAAAGTCTCCCCTAAGCCAGGCATTTCTGGAATTGACTTGAAGTTTCACAGACAAAAAGCTTTGAGAATTTGAACCATAGTCTTAGGAGTGGCTCATGCTCTGATTTTATGGGGTAATCACTGCTCTGGGGTTCAAAGAAACGCCACCCATGGGTCTAAGGAATAAAGACAATATCTGAGCCATGCTCCCTGCATTACCAGGCAGACCAACCACTTTGTTGTTCCTGACCCCATGGTGGCTGAGGTTTTCCATAAAAAGAAATTGAAAGTTATAAAGATTCTTTTCCTTCTCCCCTTGTCCTGTTATCTATTCTCAGAAAAGGGTTTGCAACTTACTTTAGTAAATCCAAAGGAAGATGTGAGCAGACAGAGCTGAGTTCATGTGGTCAAGAGTTTGGCCATCTCTGCGTGGTAACCAAGGCCCATGTTCATGTCCAGGGTCAACACTAGGAACCGTGATTGGCAAAAATTATGAGCTGAGGTCTCAGAGCAGTTATTTGAGGATGCAGAGTTTCGATTTCATTTATGTAAGAGTCTGTGCTGATCCTGCTCCATGCTTTGAGTAGGTAGGTCTAGGTAAATCTGGTCTAAAGAAAGACTAAGCTAATGTGTTGATTTGTCTTGGCAGTTTATCTCTGTCTTTGAAGGATCCAAGGATGCTGATAGCAAGGCCGCTCCCACACAGGAAATCATTTCAGGTATGAAATACACTACCCTTTTAACAACTAGTGTAACAAAGATCTTAATTACATCAATTTGAATTTAGAATTATTTTATCTTACAATCTCAGAACAAGAAGCCCTTCCCTCATGTATCATCGATACGGACCAGAAGTAATATTCTTATAAAGAGAAATTTGCAGCTCATTATGCAGTGTGTGTCTCTAACTGACACGAAAGGGGCAAGGGATAGTGGAACTAACAGTTCTTAGGCCCCTAGCTACCCACCTTTTGTTACAGTGAGAAAGAACAGTGAAGGGGGAAATTTACGGTAGGTTCTTCAAGGTCACCACATGAGTAGTAAACTGAGGAGTCACGACTGACACACATCTCATGACTGCAAAACCCAAGCTCACTTAGCACCTTCAGGGCTCACACATACAAGTGGCTACTTGAGCAAAGTAGTTCGGGAAGCAAGAGCAGCAGGTTGTCCAGGGGCCTCTGCCTGGGGATAGCCCTCTCCATAAAAGGAGGGAGTTTCTGTCTGGCCAGCTAGGCCTTCCCAGGTCATCTCTGCAGAACGTCCGCTCTCTGAGAGAAGCTGAATACATAAGTTCTGTATGACAATTCCTGACTTACTGTGATTCAGAAGATATGGGGCATGGTGCAATACGTTTGCCCGTACTGTCACAATCTATCATGAATTTTCAGCAATGTACACAAATGTTCATTGATATCATTGCACAGAAAATAATAATTTTTAAGCTAATGATAATGATAATAGCTGGTATATGCTAAATACACTCTTTTATTATCTATACAGTCCTATTTTACATAATAAAAAAATCACATGAGTAGCCCAATCAACAGAAAATTTACCCAATAGGGGAGAAATTACAATATTTTGAATGTGTGAATGTGCATCTGCTTTCACTCGAGCATTCTGAAATAGACACCCTCAGTGTGTAGAGTTAAAATCTGCTTTACCACTTAGCTTATCAGGCATTTCCATAGAGTTTTTGCTACAAAAACATTTTCCATATGTGACTGAAAAAAACTCTAGGTAAAGTACGCATCACAGTGCCACGAGGGCAAAAAGCACGAACACGGCCAATGTTTACACCTGTGACCTAGGCCAGGGATCTGATCTTGCCAAGTTTCAGGGTCCAAAACCGACGACCTCCTTCTTCCTGTTTCCTTCATAAAGAGTCACAGAATCAAGTAAAAGTAATTTTTGTGTATGTTCTTTGAATATCACAAAATATTTTCTAAATGTCAAGTCAGAATTCTAAATTATCAATACCCTCCTACAACTACCTTAAATTGAAATGTCTAATAAACATCTACTTTTTTTTTCCTGTCCACAGATGCTCCCAAGCCTAGTATTTCCAAACAAGGATCTAAAATGCTGGCAAGAGTATCTTCAACTCTATCAAAGGTGTTTTCCCGCTCTCACTCCAGTAGTCCCAGATCTTCCTCACCTCCTCACCGGAATGACCACTGAAGCTCCTTTATCTGACATATACGTATGCTTTCTTACCTTAGAAAATAAAATAATTTTTAAAGCATAACAGTGTGTCTGGTAACTCTCATGATGTTGAGCATAAGAGCAAAGAATATGAGAGACCTGAGTAAAAGAAAGGTTTAGTAAATGCTTTCATAAAATTACATTTATTTTAACTGGTACATAAAAATATTAAAATTGTACACATTAATGGAGTAATGTGAGGTTTCAGTACATGTATATGTTGTATGATGTTAAACCAGGTTAAGTATATTCCTCAAAATTTATCATTTATGATTAACTTTAAAAATATTTTGATATATATATATATATCAAAAGATATATATATTTATATATATATATATATAAATACTGTACACTCCCATATGATCCATATTGTGTTTTGCATAAACATTTGGTATAAAATACTAAACACTAGTATTGCTTGTATGCCATGAAAGTGACTGCAGTTATAATTAGTAAGCTAGGCGATCCACAGTAACAACCAGAAAACCAATACGGACTGTTCCTGTTAAATTTTTAGAGGTTGTAACCCCCAAGATGGTTAGAAAACTGAGATTAAATTATACAGCAGAGTTATGAAACAGATTGGCTCACAGTTAAAGTTGTATTTAAAGGTACAAATAAAAGTAGTTACACTAGCTAAAGGAAGTCAGTTTTTCTTACCCATGGGTAAAATTTCAGTAGTTATAAAATACTTCTAAGGTAAAAAGATCCAAGTATATGTAGATAAAGCTGTATGCTAAAGTAAATAATAACCATGGATAAAAGTCTTGTATGCATAAAATAGCCCCAGGACTAAAATAACTTCCTTTTCATATGCAGTGTCTTATAGATAAAATGTCAATAAAATCATCACATTTTATGCAAAATACTTTCTGTAAATGTAGATACCAACCCTGAATTCATAGGAATGTAAAGAGTAATGGAAAATATTTATGTCTAATTAATTCAGTGAAAAAAATTTTTGAGAATCAGTTAAACTGCTACTTTGCCAAATGGTTTCAGTTTCAACATGTTTGCCTCTGAAATCTAATGATGATTTTATAAAGATCAGCTAAAAAGAGAATTAGACATCATCATCATCATCTAACTAAAGGCTTAGTCATCCTTTTCAGAAAATGTGATATATTCTCTTTTATCTAAAATTTTCTTGATAGTTGTTTTTGGTAAGGCAGAAATATCAGAGAAAACTTTGTTTAATAAAATGAGTTCCCCTTTAAAGAAGTTTTAAATACAATTATGACAAAATGTCAAAAAAAGCACTATACTATCAAAATTGTATATTGTGGCTTACTTAAAGAATATCTTAAAGTTGATCACAAGTATTATACAACATTGTATAACCTATAAATACAGACCTTTTCAGTAATGATCATTGACAAGTTACAGCTGGAAATCCATTTCAGAATTATTTTTAGGAGACCTAATTCTATGTCAGTGTGTAGTAGTTGACAGTGTTATGGAAAATGTCCTTATATCTGTCATCCAAACCATTAATGTTTCCCAGACAGAGGTTACAGGTGCTCACAAAACCTGTCTTTCTACATAATGGAAGATTTCTCTATAAAATTTAAAGCACTCTGGTTCACATGTTTCTCTATTGAAAGATTTAATATATAAAAGTAATATACTCTAATGTAGGAAGTAAAAGATGTTTCCAATTTTCTCCAATCCAAGTAGGGCAAGAATTACCTTCAGAATTAGTCCATAAAACTGCCAAGCTTTTGGCAAGAAATAATTAAAATGGTCAATTCAATCTTGAAAAGCTTCTTTTACCCAAAATTGTGTGTTGGATGGAATGTGTGAGATGAAACACTATCCTTATTTTTCATTCAATTAGTGATTAGAAAAGCTGAAAATATTAAAATTTAGTTTGAAAAAGGCAAAATACTGGATAAAATGAGTCATAGCTAAAATTTTCAGAAGATTAAAATTCTAAATGCTGACTCAGAAAAATAAGATTTGCATTTGTACACCACTGAAGTGATCTCTGAAGTTACTGTGTCTCTTATTTTATTGACATGCTTTAGATATACATAATGATAGCATTCATCATAAGGAATTTGCACCTGTACATGATACATCTCGCTTCAGCTTTTTCCCCTCCCTCTCCCCTCTTGTGAACACTTTGTTTCCATATTTTCCTTCTATTCTTTGTTCTTATTCCTTCCCTCCTCTCCCCCTCACCCGCTTCCTTGTTTTCCTTCCCCTTTGAAAATTTTCTTTCCATTTCCCAATATCTCTTATACATTTTGGTCCTTATTTACACTTTCAGTTTCTCACATCAGAGAAACAATGCAGTGTTTAAACTTGTGTCCAATTTATTTCACTTGAGTATAGTCTCAAGGTCTAGCCATGTAGCTATAAATTTCTGAATCTCATAGTTTTTTTTCTTTTATTGAGTTTACTGGTACATTCTAGGTATACAGTACAATTGCATTCATTATTGGGATCTTGTACCTTCACATGACAGGTCTTGGTTCTCATTTTTTCCCCTTGTCCCTGCCCTCCCTTCACCCCCTCCTCCCCTCCCTATTTACAAACACTTTATTTCCACTTTGTTATATTTTTTTCTTTTCCCTTATGACCTTTCCCCTACCCTTCCCGTTGAAGCTCATCCTTTTTATGGCAGAATAGTACTGCATCGTATAAAAAAAATCTTCTTTATCCACTCTTTGGTCCATAGGCATTTGGGCTGTATCCAAGATTTAGCTGTTACACACAGTGCTACTGCAAACATTAGTGTGCAAATATCGCGGTGGTATGGTGTTTTTAATTCTTTCAGAAAGACACCAAGAAGAACAGCTGGGTCAAATGGAACCTCTAGTTTTAGTTTTTTGAAGAATCTCCATACCAATTTCTTTTCTTTCCTTCTTTTTTTTTTGCTTTGTTTGTTTGTTTGTTTGTTTTTTCTTTTTGGGTACTGAGGATCAAACTCAGGACCTTGCCTCTGCAAGGCAGGCAGCAGAACCACTGAGCTAAATCCCTAGCTTTCTCCACACCAATTTCTATAGTAGTTGCACCAGTCTACACTCGCACCACCAGTGGAGAATGTTTCTTTTCTCCCCACAACCCTGCTAGCATTTTTTATTGGTGGATTTATTGATAACAGCCATTCTTTCTGGGGTGAGGTGGAATCTCAGCCTCATTTTCATTTGCATCTCTCAAATGACCAGAGATACTGAACATTTTTTCAGGTATTTATTTGCCACTTCTACATCTTCATCTGAGAAGTGTCTATTCATTTCAGATGCCCATTTTTGGACTGGGCGTTTAAATTTAGGGTATCTGATGTTTCTGAGTTCTTTATATATTCTAGATATTTGTCTTTTGCCTGAGGAACAGCTGGCAAAACCTTTTCCCCATTCTGTGGGTTGTCTCTTCGCTTTGTTGGTAATTTATTTTGCTGTGCAAAAGCTTTTTAATAAGATGAAATCCCATTTGTTGATTCTTTTTTATAGTTCCTGTTTGATCAGGGTTTATTCATAAAGCCTTTGCCTCCGCTAATGTCTTCGAGAGTTCTACCCATTTTATCTTCCCACAGATTTAGCGTTTCTATTTTAATATTTAGATCTTTGATTATTTTTATTGTAGTTTAGTGCATAGCAAAAGAAGTGGATGTAGTGTTAATCTTCAGCATAGGGAAAGCCAGTTTTTCCAGCATCATTTATTGAAGAGGCTATCTTTCTTCCAATGAAGGTGTTTGGCTCCTTTGTCAAAGGTGAGGTGGCTGAGTGTATTTGGAGTTGTTTCTTTATCTTTTAATCTGTTCCATTGATTTTGGGGTCTTTTTATTTTTATTTATTTATTTTGCCAGTACGATGCTGGTTTTTTGTTTTTGGATCTTTTGGGGTTTTTTGGTACTGGAGATTGAACTCGGGTCCTTGCGCTTGCAAGGCAGGCCACCGAACTGCTGAGCTAAATCCCCAGCCCCATGCTGTTTTTACCATTGTTGCTTTGTAGTATAATTTCAAGTAAGGATTCTTTAACTTTGATCCTTGCCTATGTTGTTGATTTTCTATATAGTGACTGAAAAGAGGTTGGAAAACTTTTAAGGACAGGTTTAGCTAGTAAACATTTTAGAAGTGTAGAGCTTACAGTTTCTGTCAAAGTTACTTCCTGAGCTCAGTAGCACAAAAGCAGCTGTAGACAACACATAAATCAAGGAATATAATGTCATCTAATAAAACTAAATTTATGGACACTGAAATTTGAATTTCATGTATTACTACCCCTCTGATCTTTTTCAGTAATTTGAAAATATAAAATTGATTCTTTGATCAGTCAAGGGTACATAACAGATTACATCTGTCCCTTGGGTATTAGACTGCTGACCTCTGTGCTGAATGTACTTATTATGATATAAGATGTGTAGATTATTCATGAAAAGTAACGGGCTTCAATAGGAAATATTCAAATTCCATTGCAGAAAAAATTAGCTCATAAAGTTCAGCCATTGATCTCTTGAATAATACATTATTGGTAAACAGTGTTGAATGAAGAGAACATCCTTTCCCTCACTGCGTCCTCTTGGTGAATTTGTCAAAAAATAAGTTGATTGTGTATGTTTGGAGCTATTCTAGTCTCTCTTTTGCGTCAATTGTTTTATTTTACTGGTTTTGTGTTGGTACTTACCGTACAATTTCCTTATATTTTATGATAAAATCTTAAATGGGGAAATGTGTTGCCGTCCACTCTCATGTTCACTGAAGTATTATTTACCAGCTAAGGTATGGAAACAGCCAAAGTGTCTGTTGATGAATGAATGCTGGAGGAAAACATGATATATGTATATAGTGGAATACCACTGAACCTTAAAACGGAGTTCTTGCCATCTGTCCATATGGATGGGTCAAACATAGAAAGAAAAATATTTATTGATGTAATTCATATGTTAAAAATTTTAAAATAGAAATCTAAAATATAAAATAGTGGTTAACCGTGATGTGGAGAATCGAGGGGCCACATATGACATAAGACAACACATAATTGCGA